TGCCACCCCCTTTCATGTCATGTACAAAATCAATGACGACCCCTTAATGACCGGTCCCTTAGTAAATTGCCACTAATATAAAAACGAGGACAATCTTGTTGAATAAAAATGTGAGATCTTTCTATGCAAACACACGTCCTCAGGTTCCTTTTAGAATACATCAAGACAGCTGCTTCGTTGCTACAGTTGGTGGTTTGCAAATACCTAATTCTGTTATATACATGTAGTTTAAATTGAAATTCTGCTCTGTTTTCTTCCGTGCTTGGCTCTGTCCTGATGACGACACGGGATAATGTGTCCAATCTCCACTTTATCACAACGAGGTCAGCCAATGCGAGTGAGCTGGTCGGAATGCGGATGTTGAGTGACGGTGGAGTACAGCACACACGCTTGACTGGAGGAATGCACGACTTGCGAAACTAGTCACGTGTGACTAACCAGCGGTTTTATCTGACTTAAAACATTATAACTATATTTACAAATTCGAATTTAAACATATGTATATATGATTTATATAGTCACTGTAAAATATCCTTGACAGTAACGCATGTCGCTAAAGCAAATGCACCAATATTGACATGGGATTTGTGATAAATTTAAGAATTATTTAATAATACATTCGTGGTGTAAATTGCAAAATTTCCTCCAGTAATAAACAACTTGGCGTGAATACATTGTCTCCGAGTCAAATCGCCGTCTAAGGGTTGACGCCTGAGGGCTTTTCCTATGAAGCACGACTAGCGCGCAGTCTTTGTCAACATGTGTTTAAGATGCATTGCAGTTACTTCCCTTTTCACCTTGCCTGAATAGGTGACGCGCTGAGATTACTGACTTGCTTATTCCGGTTAGAACGCTTCCTCAATCAGTTGTGAATTCTACGAAAACAGGTTGTATTTCGTCAACAACTGGTGAGACCACGTTGATGTCAACAGATGATGAAGATATAAACTGGAGATGAACTACCTGTGGAAATATCTCCTGTGTTGTGGAAATTTAGTCACTTTTCTAGATTTGACAGCTGGGCTAACAGAAAATGCGTGAGTACAGGGCTGTTTTTATTATACATGAAATATATGCGTCTAGAATTTTCACTGGAAAACACGAGTGTATATTATGGTGAATTCGGTTGGCAATAGAAAGGTACATCTACATAACGAAATATCATTCCATGTGTTTATCACCAGTTATGGCTGATTTAACGTTTGTTCTTATTTATTATTTTGAGGGGGGCAAAGTTATGTGTATGAGGGGGCAAAGTTGGAGGGTTGGGGTAAAAATATTTATAACAACACAATTATATCGATGACGCTAAAAAAAAGATAACCTCCATTTTTACGCACACAAAAAACTATGTTTTCAAATACATGTACGCATTAAGAAGTGGAACAGTGGGAGATGAGATCCTGAAAAGATGCGTGGGAAGCTGGGTGGGGGCCAAATGATACGGCTCTAAACAAAGATCAATCCATATTTATACCGACATCATATTATTAGGACCACATAAATATATTCACAGTCCACAAAAGGGTCTGCTTATAAGTTACTTTAATGTAACATTAAATCAACATTTCCTACTGTTTGCTTTGGTCAAGTTTCATTGAAGTTGGCAGACATGTTCATTTGTGGCTTTACTGTTAAGATCTTTATCAAATTTAGAATTGCAATTACCAACGTCTAAAGTGCTCGAATCCATTTAGCATTTATTCAGTTTTTAACGTTTATGTATGCTTGTCATGAGTTTCAAAACGACTGTCCCAATGGCGTAGATCGATGCTCATGCTATTGATCACCGGATTGTGTCAGGTCAAGACTGGATTATTTGCTTATAGCTGGAATATTGCTGAGTGCGGCCTAAAACAACAAACAAATATTCGAAGATATACTTCAAAACCTCCGTATTTTAATTTCTTAGCGGAAGTCAAATAATGAGCAATCTGTCATATAAGGTGAATTTCTAACATATTTTTGTACTTTCTCTTCCTTCATCTATACAATATCAAAGTGGGCCAAAGACGAGGCCAAAATGTCATCCTCTCAAAGTACTTCTTAAATCAGTAACTACAATAATCACATATAATAACGAGACGCTGCACTTGAGAGTTTGAAATCATAAACAAATCACGCATTGAAAGAACGAAGTATTTTTCGTTCATATAAACACGCCTCACAATCTTCATTTCTACATTTCTCGCAAGTCTTTGTCAGATCCTGCATATGCAATGCACGATGCCAATGTTGGTGTAACACGAAGCGATATTGCTGGAATATTGCTAAATGTGCGCGGCGTAAAACCATACTCAATCACTCATAAATGAGAACTTCTAATAGGCCACAGTTGTACAAACACTTCTTATGCTGTGAACTACGGTAATACCTTTATAATAAAGAGTTAACATTTAATCAATTTTTAAAAGCTATTAGAGAGATAGCCTATAAATTTTTTTAAAATTGTCACTTCAAAGGTTACAAAGACATGAACATATACAAATATTCCAAATCTTATGAACATGAAAGTAAATTATGTTGAATATTTGGGGATTCTGCTATGAAATTGGGCTCAATTATATAACCTAACTACCCGTTAGAATAACACACTAACAACACGTTCGTTTTTCTCATCATTCCAGTCAGTACTTGTCAATATATGTATTTCAGTTTATTTCAGATTATTTACCGCTTGCGTAAATTCAAAACCTCAAAAATCACTATCACACCGGAGACATGGAAAACTCGTTTTCACTCGCCCCTAGCAAAATTCAGAATTCAGAGTGATTAACCAATAGCAAAAAATATATTATTTGAGACAGACACATTTACACTTAATTTGAAACACGACAGTTAACACTGAAACATGCCGTTGCCAGGTAATGCTAACAAATCTTTGTCACCTCACACACAAATCATTTGGGAGTGTATTATAACAAAAGTGTAAAAGGGGTACAGGTTTAATGTAGCGTTCTTAACGTGTACCGCCTCCACAGAGAGAAATACAGAAGGTAACCCGGATTTGACCTGGTTAAAAGTTGAAAGCAGGTAGGGCTCTACAGTACAGTCATGTGAATGTCCATTGGGAGATGCATGACTTGCCGGTCAGTCAACCGTCAACAATAGTTTCAGCTTTATTGGACTGCATGTTGATATAGGTCACCATTGAGCGTGTTGTTTGTGCAAAACCAGGGCAGCTTTAGTGCTGTCACATCAACACTTATGTATAATATATGCTTACTTTCCATTGCCACAACAAACAGGACCAACATAACGTTGGACGTCAAAAGGAATAATAGCAGCTAATACCTGGCATGTAGTCTTTTCCGCACAGCGTACACATGTATCTTGCCAGTGTTTACGGGCCAAAGAGGCGCGGTGGGTAGTGTGTTGAGGTGTGAGGAATTTCAATCATATCTGTATTCAATCGGCATCAGGTACAAAAAACGATATGCTCAACTGCATATGTCTGTTTACCAGCCTACATTGCAGGTGTGGTTCAATACAGTGAATGTCAATGCAATACCATAAATAAATCAAGAGCAATAAAACCGTTAGACGTTAGTATACTAGCTAATCAGTGCATGACTGTAAGCTTGGCGAGGTATGCATTAACTGAGGAGTGTCCCGTCAAAACTCACACTTATTGATAATAAATAAAATGATGCAAACTTGTTTTTCTGTGCCTACATAATCTTTAATACAGGTTCTTATCACACAAACTTCTGACAATCAGTCTTCTCCCGCAGATTTGGTAAACACATGCTCCCTACACGGTGACAGTAATCCGACACAACAATCTCTTCACAGTTTTCTGACAATCGTCTGACACGTCTTTTCACAATCTTCTGACACACAGTTTTTCACAATTTTCGGACACACAACTTTCTTACAATCTTCCAACACACAACCTTCTCACGATGTTCCGACACACTCATCTCACAGGCGTCTGGCACAACCTTTTTACAGGATATTCTCAAACACAGCCTTCTTACAGAGTATTCTAAAAACACAGACCTTCTACGGAATATTATGAAACACAACCTTTTTACAGGGTCTCTCAGAGTACAAACCTTTTACAGGATTTACTCAAGCACAACCTTCTTACAGGGTCTCCTGAAATACAAACCTTTTACAGGATTTACTCAAGCACAACCTTCTTACAGGGTCTCCTGAAGTACAAACCTTTTACAGGATTTTCTCAAGCACAACCTTCTTACGGGGTCTCCTGAAGTACAAACCTTTCACAGGATTTACTCAAGCACAACCTTCTTACGGGGTCTCCTGAAGTACAAACCTTTTACACTATTTACTCAAGCACAACCTTCTTACAGGGTCTCCTGAAGTTCAAACCTTTTACAGGATTTACTCAAGCACAACCTTATTACGGGTCTCCTTGAAGTACAAACCTTTTACAGGATTTACTCAAGCACAACCTTCTTACAGGGGTCTCCTGAAGTTCAAACCTTTTTCTTACGGGGATTTACTCTTTTACACTATTTACTCAAGCACAACCTTCTTACGGGGTCTCCTGAAGTACAAACCTTTTACAGGATTTACTCAAGCACAACCTTCTGATGGGGTCTCCTGAAGTACAAACCTGATACAGGATTTACTCAAGCACAACCTTCTTACATGGAATTGAATAAACACAATCGTATTACGGTGTCTTCTCATACATATTCTTTGCATAATCAGTCTGCTTTTTAGGGTCTTCTCACACGCATTTTCTTTCAGGGTCCTCCCACGCACGGCATTATTACAGAGATTTTCTCCACAACTGTCTGATACGTTAAAAAATCATGGCTTTTTCATGGGGTGTTTTTGTCCAACGGAAAGACATTATTCTCTAAAGGTAGTCGAGAGGATGTCTAGGGTTTTCAAAAGAAGGATCGTCACAATACCCCGAATGTTGGCATTGTGTTCTTTTAATATGCTTATAATATTAACACATATCTTTCCAGAAAGAATGTAGTTACAAAGATCACCTACCGGACTTCCAAGTACACGACCAAATGTGGCTTTTTGAACTGGGACCGCTGCACAAGAAGCAGGTAGGTGCTTTGTTACAAGAGTTCATCGTCATAACTTCATCATGAATCAAATGTCCAACAGCTGAAGTTAATATACTGAGGGGAACAAATAAGGGAACACATCACAGCACAAGCGTTCCTTTATTCTTTTCCAGATTTCACCACAAGCTCTGTATCGCACTATGGATGAAAATCTGATAATAAATAGAGGAACACTGCGATGAAGCGGTGTTCCCTTATTTGTTTCCCAATATATAAACACTGCGATGAAGCGGTGTTCCCTTATATAAACACTTTGTTGCCCCAATATATATAAAACACTGTGATGAAGCTGCGATGTTCCCTTATTTGTTTCCCAATATATAATAACTGAACAGCTATATGAACGTTTAAAATTTCAAACAGTTTTCTAACATTAGGCGAGGTTTAAGGTCGCTTTCAAGATTATTGGACTACTATATTGCGACATGCATGCACACTTTTGTTTCTGTGTATGCATGTATGCGTGTGTGCTTGCACTAGTTCGCACTATACCCGGCTTATAGTGCCAGCACACTGAGATACCATGCTAGTTTAACATGGATACCCGAGAGAGAGAGACAGAAAGCTAACTAGGACTGTCAAGTGCTGGTTTTATCCCCGTTATATCGAGCACGAATCAGGGTAACAAACATTTTTCTTTTGCTATGATCGAGAATCGAACTTTATGCTTTCCGGTCAGACGCACTGTCCATTAGACCACAGATACAGGTTTTTACGACTCTGTTGCCGGATGACTGTTGTGATATGCTACAAAAGTAATGACAATGACGTATAATGAAAACATTTCAAATTTTCAGACAAGTCTCGGACAAATCATTTCATTGCAAGAGTGGGTACAGGTCAACAAACGATGTCAGCTGTCCTCATCGTAAGTTACTGAGACTGAGATCAATAGTGATTTGGGTTAACACCGCTATTAACAGTATTCCAGTTATATCACGGCATGTCTGCTTAATGTGGGAGCAAAACCCGAAGTAATGCAGACCCAAGACGGTTACCACTGTGATGAAACCCTAAAGGATGGCTATGGTCTGACAGATCCTGAAACATATTCATTCCTAACCCACGTATACCACTGTTTGAAGAACATACAGCTGTATACACTCTGGGTAATAACACCAGTGAGGCTGGGTCATTTCCGAATTGGAGTGTACGTGTCAATGGGCAAAATATTCAACATATGCATGCTCCCGATTAACTTGCCCTTCTCTACTCGTAAATTGTTTTTAAAACACCCAGATCCATGGGGTACTGGGACTGTAGCTTGTGTTGCTTTACTGCACGACATGGTGGGCCACATCATCAATAAAGAACAAAACGAAAAAATAACATCGTAACATTCATCGCCATCGTCAACGCTGACTTTGAACTTTGTATTGCAAATGAGATAATTCCACTGCGGAGGAAGGGAGAAAATGTCAGGCAGGAAGTTCTTATTTATAAGCTGAGGCAATCCCCTCTTTTGAAGCTTGGATGTAAGTAATATGTGTTATAACGCAAATTACAAATATTCCTAACATTCAAGTCATTTCCGTTCTCGGATAATCCTATTGTGCAAACCTCGAGGGAAAAAACTTATAACCCCCTTATACATAGCCCAGGTAACCGATTGACAACTCCTTATACACAACCAAGGTAACACATTGACAACCCCATACATACAAACCAGGTTACACATTGATAACTCCATACATACAAACCAGGTAACACATTGATAACTCCATACATACAAACCAGGTAACACATTGATAACTCCATACATACAAACCTGGTAACACATTGACAACCCAATACATACGACCCAGGTAACACATTGACAACTCCATACATACAAACCAGGTTACACATTGACAACCCCATACATACAAACCTGGTAACACATCGAGAACCCCATACATACAAACCAGGTAACATCTTGGCAACCCCATACATACAAACCAGATAACACATCGAGAACCCCATACATACAAACCAGGTAACACATTGACAACCCCATACATACAAACCACGTAACACATTGACAACCCCATACATACAAACCATGTAACACATTGAGAACCCCATACATACAAACCAGGTAACACATTGACAACCCCAAACATACAAACCAGGTGACACATTGACAACCCCATACATACAAACCAGGTAACACATTGAGAACCCCTTATATGCAACCAAGGTAACACATTGACAACCCCAAACATACAAACCAGTTAACACATTTACAACCCCATACATACAAACCAGGTAACACATTGAGTATCCCATACACACAAACCAGGTAATATATTGACAACTCCATACATACAAATCAGGTACCACATTGACAACCCCATACATACAAACCAGGTAACACATTGACAACCCCATACATACAAACCAGGTTACACATTGAGAACCCCTTATATGCAACCAAGGTAACACATTGACAACCCCAAACATACAAACCAGGTAATACATTGACAACCCCATACATACAAATCAGGTACCACATTGACAACCCCATACATACAAACCAGGTAATATATTGACAACCCCATGCATACAAACCAGGTTACACATTTACAACCCCATACATACAAACCAGGTAGCAAAGATTGTATTGGGTAGTTGAGTTTTACTTGGTTTCACTTGTTCACCCCTCAGCTATTTGTGACGGTGACATCAACCCCGCTGCCTGTACCATCAAATACAGGACATCTCACATCATCTACAGTAACGGCAAAACACAGTACGTCAGCGGAGGCAGCTGCAGCTCACCCGGAAAGTGTGTCAGCTGTAATGCAGGCTTCTATGCCAGCCCGGAGCGCTGCAGAAGTAAGTACAGCAGATTGTACAGAAAATATTAAACTAGGCAAAGCAGGCACACACTGATTATATCGCGTAATGTTGAATCACTCTAAATCAACCTAATATTGTGTGGTGCTAAAACACTCTGAATCAACTAAATACTGTGTGATGGTAAACAGCTAAATAATGCTTAATGATTATATTTGGCACAAACAATATTGCTTTATGTATCAGTCAAATATACAACTTGTAAAGTATTTTTATCTTTAATTAGCCCATTGTCGATGATTAGGCCTGTTTCTGTTCCCCAGACAAACAAAAATGCACGAAAAAACAAAAATAGATTGTTTACATGTAATGGGAAACACACTCGCCAAATATTAAACCATTAATGCATACCCGAGAACATCTGGTATATTACTCTTTTAACTGATTCTCTGTCGAGTTTATATTTTATTGTCATGTTTTGTTTTTTCATACGAGGCGGTAGGGTAGCCTAGTGGTTAAAGCGTTCGCTCTTCTTGCTGAAGACTCGGGTTCGATTTCCACATGTGAGCAATGTGTGAAGACCGTTCCTTGTGTCCTTCGCTTTGATATTGCAAGAATAATTCTAAAAGCGGCGTAAAACCTTACACAATCTTTCATTTTTTGTCCTAGAATTTAGTGTGCAATGTGAATTTTCTCTGAGATAATAACTTTTTATTTCAAATTTTGTCGCGGAGCCATATTTATACTGAAGATACATTGCAAGTCACTGATCTTTCTGCAGCACGAACTCAATTGTTCTCAATGCTCTGCTTAAGCCAGATGGACTGCATGCTGCACGGACATCAGTGTTTACTATCTGTTCTGGTAGCTAGATTGGGGATATTGTGAGGCTATACGCTACTTCAATGTGAGATCGGATTCTAGGTTTCATAGTACTATATCACTGAAATACCATGTCTCAGTTTGAAATTGAAAAACCTACTCAGACAAAATATACTGACTCAGAGCCAACCAGTCCCTTGCTATAAGCCAAGGCGCGGTAACAACAAATAGAATCTTTTGGTATGATTATGGGATGAAACCTCCGACTTGTGCTAACCTTCTAATTGTTTCATCTGCATTCTAGAAGTTGTTGAGTCAAAAATGAAGCATATTTATGGGTGACAACGCTTTGTTTATTGCATAGAGCGACGTTTCGATGTAGATTCTTATTCGTTATCAAGCTAAAAGTGATGGTGTAAGAATCTACATCAAAACGTCGCTCCATGCAATAAACAAGGAGTTATCACCCATAAATATGCTTCATTTTTGACTCAACAACTTCTAGAATGCCGATGAAACAACTAGAGGGTTAGCACAATTCATCCATAAAGTTTTACGCTTCATCTATATGCTGACCCACGTTGTTCATGGTATGCCTCATCTTTCCTGTCAGTGTGCACTGCCATCAGCAACTGCGACCTCGAGGAGTGCACCAGCAGCACAAACCAGGCGTGTAGTCGTTGTGACGGTGTTGTGTCTGAGCAGGCAGGACACAGGGCATACGTGGCATCGTCCAACAAGAAATCCTGTATCAGTGAGTAATCGCCTTCACATACACACATACGAGCACTACGTCACGTATATGATCATTGGTTTGGTTGGTTGGTTTGTTGTTTAACGCCGCACTCAGCAATATTCCAGCTATATTGCGGCTGTCTGTAAATAACTAAGTCTGGAGCTCACAAACCAGTGATCAACAGCATGAGCATCGATCTACGCAATTGGGAACCGATGACATGTGTCAACCAAGTCAGCGAGCCTGACCAACTGACCCCGTTAGCCGCCTATTACTACAAGCATGGGTTGCTGAGGAACAATTATAACCCGGATTTTCACGGGTACATGATGATGAACAAAACATGTATTGTGTTTTCCTCTGTCAATATTTTAATATATTATATTTGTTTTAATTGACCAAAGACTTCACAATATCTAATAAGAAGATTGTTATGATAAAATAATTCTGTGTATTATGGGGGCGGTTGGGTAGCCCGATGGTTAAAGCATTTGGGTACATGGGTACAATGTGTGAAGCCCAATTCTGGTGATCCTGCCGTGATATTGTTGGAATTTTGCTAAAAGCGGCGTAAATTCCCTCACCCACTCACTGTTTATGATAAATTGTCATTATGGATTACAGAGGCATGTTCGTGGCGGAGTGACAGCACCTGGTGCTATCCAGGGACCTGCAGATCGGAGTACGCCAGCAACTGTGCCTGTACCAGTGGCTTCACAGGGAAGAACTGCCAGACTAGTAAGACATTGTCGATACGTCAGTTACTTATGTTGTTAAATACGTTTCACATAATGTAAGTAATCGAACATGTGTGTTTCTGCCAGGGATGGAGCGTGGGGAGGGGTCGATTGGGGTGGGGCTGTGAGGCTGGTATATGGAATATTTTTCTAAGCCATAACGGTTTTGGGGGCTGGGGTGTAAGAAAAGAAGGAAAATACAAAGCCAGGTGTAATTTCTGTTGCTGAAGTTTCTTTCTACGGAAACAGTATGTAGTATTTACTGGGACAATCTTTTTAAAATCCGTATCCCCCAACATTGTGTTGTCGGCCCCTTGAATTAAACTTTGGTTCTGCAAACTTAGTGCGGGTTTTATCGGGGCGTTTTGTATTCCCTGAGCTACGTAAATTAAATAAATCAACAAATGTCAGTACAAATGAAATGCAAGCAGCTTACCACTATTGTCGTGGTCAGCAGCCCAGAGTCATTCGCAGGTCAGTTGTCTATAATTACAGTTACACAATGGCCACTCAAGCATAACATTGTGACTGAGGTGAGTGATACAGCAGGGTGACCAGAAACCAGTCTGACCACTGTTAGACCCTTAGGGATAGAAGCATAATGTTTTCTTTTGGTCGTGACTTGATCCTCGGAAAGTGGCTGGGCAGTTTGGGTGACGGCCGCCTTTCAAATACCGCTCAGCCATTGGTGTAGTACAATGTAGTTATAGATATCAAATCACAAATAAAGACTCATTAATTAACTTTTTTGAAGAGGCAATTATGCCAACTAAACAGCCGGGGATACAACATGTGTAATTATACCATTAATTGACCTGTAAGTGCTTTAGCAATATCGTATAATGTTTACACTCTCGTGTCTTACATTAACTGTCACTAAGCACTAAGGTGATGGTAAGTCACTGAGGTAACCTTAGTGCAATGTTAAGGGTTACACAACACCAGATGTTTTCCCATAGACTTCTATAGTAACGTTATATTTCTTTTAAAATCATCCAGGCTGTGAACAGCCATTCCATGTACACATGGGTACAGTCTGGCCTATAAACTACTATCAAAACAGAATTCCGGCTAATTTTCCGAGCACAGGAAGCTGGACACATCAACCCCAGTTTCGCACCAAATGTCACCTACTGGAAAATATGTGTACACACAATAAGCATAAGTCATAGTGTTAATTTCTGGATGGATGTGCTTTTAAATAATATATAAATCTTACACTATTTCATCCAATCACAGCTGTCACATGTCTCTATCTCTTCAGATGTTACATATGGTTCTCGCTCAGGGAGCATGTGATTCTGATTTAGTGCAGTGGAACCTGAAGAATGGGGGTTAAGGTTAACCTTCGTAAAGGCTGCTTCGTGAAAGGATCCCCAGGTCAGAATCAAGCACCTGTGCCGTGGCTTTCACCAAAGGATAAACGTCTGAGACCTGCAGATGAACTATCAACATCCCCCTTCTTTGTTCCTATAGACTAAAAGTATATCTGAAATTTCAATGTTACAGTTACAACAAAGCCCACAATACACTACAACATCCTGCGACTGACGGCCAGCAATGGTGACACAGCCGAAGCACCTCCAAACATCAACAGTGGTCCATCCCAGTCCACGAAATGGTCCAACATCAACTCTCCATCCAGAATGTACTACAAGTTCACGTCTGACTATAAAGCAACACCCCCAACCGCACATGCATTCATTGAAGGCTTCAAAGTGGGCATTGTCAGCGGTACAACTACCATCAAACTTAAGAGAGGTATGTAGTCCACCCGACACTTCAAAAACGCAATTAAAAGTATTCTTTCACAATATTCACGCTGACCAGAATTTGCATAAGGTCGTCCAAAGAACCAACCACCGTTGGCAAAATAGCTTCAGTTGCTTGTACATGTAATAACTTAATTGGTTAATTAATATCACAATTTCAGAACACCTACCTTAGAGGGGGACGGTGGATAGCCTAGCAGTTTATGCGTTCTCTCTAACACCGAAGGCCCGGGTACAATGTTTAAAGCCCATATTGCAGGAATATTGTTAAAAGCGGTGTCAAACTAAACTTAGGGTTTCTGGTGTAGCTACTGTTCTGGATAAAACAGTCCAAGCTTTGGGCATGCTAATGACAAATCCAAGAGGGATTCTGGCTTAGAATTTGTCTCCGGCAACCTGGTCAAACCGATCAAATGGTTCAAGTGGTCTGTCTTGATGTCGTTGATACGATGACGTCATGGGTGGTTGTTCGCAATATCAATCACGGGATTGTCTCGTCCAGACGCGATAACTTCCGGGCCGCCTTCATATGGCTGAAATATTGCTGTAACAACAAAACCAATACAACCAATATAACCAAATAACCAACACGAAAATGCCTTAAACATATCCTTCAACGAAGTGGTTGTACCAAGGTGGACGTGTGACCTCGACGAAGACATTCAACTGCGGTGGAGCCAGCAGAACCAGCCCCGACACAAACCTGTACACGTGTGAAGGAAACCCCACAGGATCGTCTGTACTACCTCTACCCTTTCAACACAAAGACGCGTGAGTAGGGGATTCAGTTGTAAGATCTTTCAAAATACTGCTGGGTTCAAGGAGGTCCATTCAAACGGTTTGTCATCATTAGCTTCCAGATGGAATGTTTATAGGTTGTGTCTGCTCAGGACACAATGCTAGCGGCATATATGTACAAAAACATTACCGTGAATATACAATGCATCTGTACGTTTGTGTGAACTAGGAAGTGATATAAATGGAAATGGCTGGTTGTGTAATTAGATGTAGTTGAATGGTAGCCTGGCCATGAAATATGTTATTTGATTCCAGTTTATCAGTTACGTATTCTTGAACCACTGTAGGTCACTGTTCGTCAGCTCTCGTTCCTTCTGTCATTTATATCATCATCATCATCATCATCATCATCATCATCATCATCATCATCATCATCATTATTACCACTACCATCACCATCTTCCTTCTCCTCATCCTCATCATTATTATTATCACCACCACTAGCACCATCATCATCATCATGATCATCATGTTCATCACCATTATTCCTATTTTCAGTATCGAATTCTCCTATGCAACAAGCAATGGAGGGAACGTCAAGGTCCGGAACAAGGAGAGTAATACACTGGCAACCCACTACTACAGTGGTGCCACACAGACCCACACCTTTACGATGACCATTGACCTGGTGGATCCCTATCACTGTACTGGCTCTACTGCCTGTGTTGGCAGCATGCTGACCGCTCCCAATATCATCAAAACTGTAAGTGTATATCAGGCAACATACATTCACTGCAATACATTTCACTCTGTGTAGGTTTCCGGATGTCTTCAAAACTTCAAGTATATGGACGGGTATATTCTGCATTCCAATACATTTTACTCAGTGTAAGTCTCCTAAAGTCATCAAACTGTAAAATTGGGTAAAATATCTGCCTTGGTCTAATTCCGTGACATGTTTCAGTCCACAGCCTCCTTTCGCTGGAGTGGCTGGGCCGATGCTGATGCAGGTGTCGACCACTTTGTGAGGGAAGTGTATGAGCTCCACGCCGTAGGGGCTGAACTCAGAGTGAAACGTCAGGTCGACACTAAAACGTTAACCAGTTCAACGGTAAGAGTGCCATCTTCATCACATTACAAGGAATGTGCCGTATCGTGGACCGTGGGCAGCCCTTGCTGTGCTGAGAACATATATTATTACTCACCCGTTGAAGATATCACAATTTAATGAATCTACAATGTTATTACACATAGCGTGCTGCCGGAACTATTTACACTCGGTCACATGACCAAAGTAACGTGATCAAAGCAAAATGTCGGCTTTCATTCACAACGCCACACTCCGGCACAGCGATGACTTAACATAACGTCACTGCCACAGGCTAATTTGCATATCACGTGACCGGACTTTTCTCTTGTTTGTAATCAAACGCGCATATTCATAATAAGAAGAGACTGGACTCACGAAAGCTTTTCGGCGCTCTCTTCATAATGTTTTACATTGTTACATATATATTCTTCCACAACTGCAACAGTTAGGTCTATGACAGTACATAACTAGATATCAAACTGGCTGCATCGTTTGCTCTCCGACTGCACGTGGAGCCGTACAATCTATGTAAACAAAGGATCGCTACGCAAATCGAAATAGTGTTACATGTTTTAGGATATTTTCTCAGTGAAACTAAACCATTATATTAAAGATGTTTAGTTAGATGTGTAGACTCGTCAAAAATAAAAGAGTTAAAGAAATCTGTACATTAATTGAATGGACATTGCAAGATGTGACGAATCGTCACATTTTTCTGGCCTGTGGCAGAGGTACTATGCTGGCTTGCCGCATGGAACTCTGGGTAGGAGAAGTGTCACAACGCATCTCAAAGTCAGTTTGAGATATTCATCTGTTCTTTGCATGGTTGCGTGTAATAGCATTTATCTAAAATAATAATATGTTGGTTGAAGTCAGTTGGTCCCCTTTTTCATACCCCTTTGTTTCTTCAACAAGAAATCAATTTAAATAGACTAATGTTGACAATCATAAATGAAATGTATTCATACGCGTGACGCCTGTTATGACGGCGTAATGCGCTCGTTCTGTATGTTGAATTCTGAGATATCATTTTGCTAATGTTGGGTGAGTCATAAATAAACTACTAAACGATGTCCCGTGCAATACCATATTTATGAAACTCGCGAATGGTTTGGTATCCAACGAGCGAAATCTACCATTCACGAGTTTACACGTGACCATTGTTTAGTATTCTTTATGTATATACTCGATTGTAAAATGCAGTTCTTGTTTACGTGGTGAGTAGATTTATTTAAACCAACATTTCAGACATCCAACAGCTACACACTGACATCTGCGGGCGTGTACTCCGTAGTCCTTTCTGCCTACGACAAGGCAGGTAATCACAGAAGTGCTAGAAGGATCTTCATGTACGATGGCACGTCCGCTGTAACAGTTCAGGCTAATAAACAACTCCGTGTGACGACAGCATCATCAGCAACGTCAGAATGGCAAACTACGTCATCAGCAGTGACCGTGGACTGGACCAACAGATTCATCAACACCGTGCATCACAACAACAAGTGGCTGCAGCGGGTGGCTTCTGTTGCTGGTCTCGGCTCCGACTATGATGACAACGAAGGTGATAGAAGAGTCTCTGCCATCAGTAATGTTCAAGGTAGGATCTGAAGCTTTGTGATGAAAATATAGTGGTCATGCATATTCAGCATCTTGATGGATGAAGTCTTATATACTACCCATCAAAAGTTTAGACTCACTAGTGTAAATGTAGCCACTTACTTCAGTCAACGGTCCTAAACTAGATATTTTCCTTACCCTGACTCATGCTAATTATGCTTGTCTCCTTCCTCTTGCGAATGATAGTGGAACACTTGAAATCCCTTGAAGTTCCCTTTTAAAAAAGCGGACGTAAAATCACTCACCCAAGAGTAGCGTCCCTTTCCTCCCTTTGGCGCCCAAATGGTCACATGATCGGCCATATTTGTCACTCTCTCCTTCTTCGCCCTTGAGGACGGTTGTGAGAGCACCTGGGTCCCTATACGGCACATATCCTTTTATATTTTCGGACCTTACATAAAAATTATTGCTGTATACGGTTTTAGGATTATATTCTACATTATGGTTGGAAATTTGATTAAATTTTCCGTTGTTTTGACATGTGTTTTCTTCATGTTAACATTTCATGAAAACTTGTATTCGTTGTAGGTACCGAGTGTCTGCGGCTGACCCTCATTTATTATGTCCTAATTGCACTGTTTCAGGTTCTTTCAGCTCTCGCTGTAAGTTTTGTGTAAATTTAACCTTTGTTGAATTTACTAATTACCTTTTTTCCATCCATAGACGTGCTAAGGACTGGGTACGTAGGTATTCACAAGTCATGTCTAAATGCAGTGATTGCGCTGATAACCGTGTGTTAACCACTGCTGCAGATATTCATAATTCTAGTGAATTGCTGAACGTTTCTCAGGAGCAGGTCGATGTACCAGGGGTGAACGCCGGAGGATATAAAGAGATCATCGTCTACTGAGCAGACCTCATCGCAGATGAAGAAGGCCAAATCTTCATCTTCGCAGAAGAAGAAGGCTACTACCATGAAGACTTCAGCGAAGTCTAAGATCAGCTCTACACAGAAGACGAGGTCTTTCTCAGCCGAGATTGTTCCTCCAGAAGAAACAGATGTTTATGATGATCTACCCATCCTCATACCTGAAGTCACCATCGTCAGTAAGAAGACGAAGCCTGCTTCTACAGCTACATCGGCATTGGTATCGGCGCAGACATTGACAGAACACCTGCTATCAACGCAGACATTGGGTACCAGAGATCAACCAGCGTCAATTCTTCACGAGTGCAGCGAGCCTTAGATGACGTCTCTTCAGTATCAGATGCATCATCCCTGCAGCAGTCTCTTCCAGACAACGCAGAACTTCAACCCGGGACTGTTCATGCAACAGTTTACAGACCAGATGATGTCGATGATGGAACGCCGCGCTCAGCTCAGGAGAAGGCTGCTATGAAGACCGCTACAACGTCTACTAGCCTGCGTGAAGGCTCTACAGTCTCCCACCACATCTGGATGAAGAGGGAGCCCTGCGCGAAGGCTCACGGACACGACGATCTTCACCATCTGTAGTAGACCCTCCAGAGAGTGCTGCTAAGAGGTCTCCACGCAGGAAGGAATCGAGGCGTTCTCCCGAAACCTACAGACGTCGCGAGATATAAGTCGTCATCTCCACCGGACTCTGACGCCCATCAAGAGCCTGCGCGAAGGTACTCCTACAGAGGGAAGCTACGTCCAGGAATCCACCTGAGGAAGGATTCAAGATCGCATCGGATCTACATACAGATCTACATACAGAGACTTACGTCATTATGAATCTTCAGAGAGGGAATGTCTAACTTAGAAGTTAGAAGTCTCGAGAACTCTACATAGCAGCATAGCAGACCCCTCCGATGACAGTCGACCTGCGCGAAGGAATATTAGCTATATAAGCTCTTTCGGATGAAGGCCTGCACGAACGGTTACGTTTGCGAAGATCTTTACCGTCAGAAGTATCAGCAGTTAAAAGCCTGGAGGATTCAACGAACGCCAGCTTAGCGTTAGCAGTCCACGATGGAGCCTCCACGCAGTTTCAGCGTCTCAGCAGGAAGGATTCTAACACAGAAGTAGATCCAGTCATTCTCCAGCATTCTACAGACTGCGCAGATACGGATCTTCCAACTTGGACTTTCATCAACCTGCGCGAGGCACTCACGGGAGGAGTCAGCATGTCCCGCTGTTCAATGATAGCAGATTTCTCCCTCATCATACGGAGCCCTTCATGATACATCAGGGCTTGAGATTACAAGATCATCAGTGAATCCCGTAATAGATATTCAAGATAAGAAGATAACACAAGTGGACACTACAACTAGATGTTGGCTATGTTGGATCAACGAGTGGCTGAAAGAAGAAGAGACACACCTGAAGTAAAGATGTCAGATAACATCCGATGATACACTAAAGATGAAATTTCATCACATGGGCTTACAAGATATCAAAGGGACAGTTAACAGCATTGTCGCAGTTCCTCAGCGAGACATCGGTTACGGTCAACTTTACAGAACATCTGTATAAGATGACGACTGCAGTAAAGATTATAAAGTTGAAGAATACAGTCACAACAGACAGGGAACAGTCTGCTTACATCGATACTACGTGGCGAAGTTTTCGTGCTTTACACGTGTTCACTCGTGTAAGTCCGGCACAAGCCGAAAGTGTTGATGAAGAAATCAACGACTGCACAAGATTCTACAAGGATCATTACAGTTGTAAACAACTCGTCTACAGTTGTAAACTAACTCTTTCAACGTGGGAAAGGCTCCATTTACAGTCCAGTTAGCAGGGTACAGCGTGGTTCGACTATCTTCACGGGTCATAGAGGACTTCCCCTGTCAGCAGATTTAATATTGGTTATCTGGGGACTTGCAGCGACAAGCGTGAGACGGTTTCTGCTCGCGGCAGCCGATCGACTATAAATAGACTTCACATCGATGGCAGTCCCAGTACATCATAGATTTTTGCTGACCTAGAGACGACGTATTATGCATCATCGCTGCACAATGTTCGGATTCTGGTGACAACATCTTCATTACATATTACCGGAAGATTGATGAGACAAGCTTCAAGCCATGATTCCAGAATCGATCATCTCTCCGCTTCCATGTCGGACATGGCAAGGGCTCCTAGATCCACGTACCTACAACGTAGGACATGATTGCAGTAGATGGCTAGTAATCTCCTAATCGGAGTTGGAACCAAAACAGGATCTTCAATTGCTGGGAATATGGCTCATCACACCACAGAATCACACAGTCGTCCCAGAGGATCGTTGGCAAAGCACGCTTGGTCTATTCACCTCAGCTCAAGACATGACTCACAGAGGGAGACTACAGCTGCGCCCACTACAAATATTTGTGAACGCCCATCTCGACAGTCTGGATCCGCTGATACTACCGTACAGCCTGAAACCATACCTCCTATGGTGGACTCGGAAGTCGAATGTTTGCGGAGGAACCTTTTTGTCAGAGCCGGTTTGCAACACTCATCTCTACGTAGATGCATCGCTACAAGGATGGGGTGCCCACCTCGACAACGAAGTGGCAGCAGGGAAGTGGTCGAGTCAGGATCAGAGTCTGCACATCAACTTGTTGGAGATGAAAGCAGTGATCAACGCTTTACAACACTGGTCCAGCGTACTAAAGAACGCAAGACTCATGGTCCACACGGACAACTCCACAGTGGCATTCTACATCAACAAGGATCAACAAGATCAATAAGTCTGCTACAACTCAGCTTTCTCCTGTTCAGTATCGTCGACGACCTGAACATCTACATGAAGGCAGGCCACATTCCAGGAGCAAAGAATGTCATAGCAGACGCCCTATCTCGTCCACTACAACCATCTCCGACGGAGTGGATGTTACACCCAGAGGCGTTCCGGTTCATCATACAGACAATGATTAACAAGCAACTACCAACATTCGTCTCTCCGATTCCGGATCCTCAGGCATGGGCAACAGACGCTTTAAGCATCTCATGTGAAGGACTAAACGCTTATGCGTTTCCACCTCCAGCACTACTACCACAAGTAATACAGAAAATCAAGCAGACAACAACGCTGCAACTGATTTTGGTCGCGCCCTATTGGCCAGCGAGGGTATGGTTTCCCGTCCTCATACAAGAACTCGGAAGTCCAACCCTGAAACTACCAGAGTGGTCGAACCTGCTCGTCCATCCACACACCAAGCAAGCTCACGGGAATCCGGCATTGTTCCAGCTACACGCCGTGGAGCGATATCAAAGCTTGACTGAAGATTAGAGGGTACTCCGCCAGAGCAGCGAAAGCAGTAACACTAGCTCTATGCAGATCAACTCGCAACTTGTACGACGACAAGTGGCAGAGATTTGAACAATATGCAAAGAGGAAAGGCTTTACAGCGGTGAAAGCAACACATCCTCAAGTGGCGGAATACTTATGTCATCTACGACAGACGAGACACTTAAAAGGTTCAACACTCTCAACGTACTTAGCTGCCCTCAGTACAGTTATCACCATGAAAACGGGTATCAAGCTGACCAAAGTACCAGAGATTCTGGCACTACTACGCTCGTTCAAGTTGGAAGACCAACAAAAGAAATTTAAGGCTCCTGCCTGGGATCTCAACATAGTTCTACAACATCTCACCAGTGATGCCTACGAGCCTCTAGAACGGACATCCTTTGAACTACTAACTCAGAAAACGCTGTTCCTGATCGCCCTAGCAACAGCTGCAAGGATGTCAGAAATACATGCTCTGGACTTTGAACGAACACGATTTGAATCAAGACATCGTGACATCGTACATCTGGGACTGAGATGGGATTTTATCGCCAAGAACCAACTGCCTGGTCAGCCTGACAGACAGTTCCACATCCCAGCACTATCTACAGTCCTTGGGCCACAGGATACGCAGGATCTATCCTTATGCCCAGTCAGAGCACTTAAAGTCTACTTACAAAGAACTAAAACAAGGAGACAAAAATTCAAGCGCCTATTCATCCCCTTATCCACTGAGACGCCCACGGAAGTCTCTAGGACAACGATATCGATCTGGATGAGAGCCGTTATACTAAGGGCCTATAAAGCAGCAGGACTTGAGCCTCCACGAGCCTCCAATCCACACGAAGTCAGAGCCCTGGCGTCAACACTTGCTCTGCATGGAAACTGCTCGATTACAACTATAATGGAGGGCTGCTTTTGCAGATCGAACACGGTGTTCAGAGACATTGCCACTGAAGACGTCTCAGGCATTCACCAGTTTGGGCCACTTGTTGTAGCACAACAACTAACGGTTCCACAAAGGCGCTGAGAAAATCTCACCCTTTTATCACGTGACTTGTGAAAACCAACGCTCTGGAGAGCAAATGGTTAAAGTCCATGCACACGTCTAGGACAGGCTAGCATGAGTGATAGACCCTGTACTTGTATAGGACATACTCGTACATGAAGAAGGGTCGCATCTCCACTTGATGCGCGCATCAAGAGATGGAGTTGCAATAGATAACTAATGGAATATTAGTATATCTAAAATCCACACGAAAATGTCAGGAGAAGTTTCGGAAGAAATCTGACAAGTTGTGGTCCCCCCAGACTCATCAGAGAGAAGTTGAAAGAATCTTCAACAGTGCCGTCATAAGTTCCCAAGGGGGGTAATACAGGACGTAAATCTACAACCAGTGAATCCAGAACGTGGCTTGACCCACCACCGTTTCCGACGGATTCTGCAAGCATAATTAGCATGAGTCAGGATAAGGAAAAATATGTAATTTTCTGACTAAAATTGATTTTATACTTATCCTGACTCATGAGGTTAGCCCTCCCAACCTCCCCTCTTATGGCACTCTGGATTTCCCTGTAAATCCGGGTGTCGGGCTTACATACGGAGAGAGTGACAAATATGGCCGATCATGTGACCATTTGGGCGCCAAAGGGAGGAAAGGGACGCTACTCTTGGGTGAGTGATTTTACGTCCGCTTTTTAAAAGGGAACTTCAAGGGATTTCAAGTGTTCCACTATCATTCGCAAGAGGAAGGAGACAAGCATAATTAGCATTACTCAGGATAAGTATAAAATATCAATTTTAGTCAGAAAATTACATTTTGCAAAATATTCCATACTGTTTAAAGGTACTGTTTACACATGAACTGATGTATTGTAAAACAAATTGGTAACGTTGAAAAGATTATTGTCATGAGTTCAATAAATGATGAAACTCAGTGAAAAATGGTAAATTCTTAACAAAACTTTACACCAAAACGCAGCTGTTCACATGCAGTAGCGTACCTGCAATTAGGCACTTACGGCACGTGCCTACACTTATATGTTTCGGCAATTCATCACTATGCCCGTGACATGGGCCTCAAGCAAGAGATCCTTCAGTGCAATGAGGAGGACCAAGACGAACCGTCGGTCCACCATCGGTGATGTCCGTAGGTCATCACTTGCACTGAGAAATTGGCTTCAGCCGATATAACTACCACTAGTCTACAGATTTTACTAATGCATATACATTTTATAGTGACTTCTGTTTAATATGTTAAAAATATTTCTTAGAATACTAAATATATCAGTTCAAATTCCTTTTGAAAATATATTTTATGAAATGCTTTCTCAGGACAATATAGCAGGAAGTGCTGTCTAGAGCAAACATGTACACAAACACCTCCAGAGGTCTTGCACGTCCAGTTGTGCCTACACTTCATTTCTTTCCTGGGTACGCCCCTGACATGCACGATATTTGCACATGCTTTCATGTGCTTTTCATGTGCACATGCTTTCATGTATATATATATATACACACTTAAAATATAGTGAGTGCTTTAAGTGAGTCTAAACTTTTGATGGGTAGTATACATGTGTATCGTTGTTGTTATTATGCTATTATCCAATATCCAGCTCAACTGCTCAAAGGAGCTTTGTTTTTCCCTCGATCTTAGAATATCAATCTCAACGGCACATCGTATTATCAATCTCAACTCCCTGGAGATCATACAACTCTTGCAGCCACCAGGCGCACCGAGTTAATGTGGCTTTCCCATCCTTACGAGGTACCAAATAGCAGTTGGGGACAAATAGTCACAGTACTTTGTCTAAGTTTCACTGCACGTTTCTGTACCCGCAAGTAGGTGTTTGCACGTATTCATGTGGCCATTTACGAACGGATTCGTGGGTTCTTTTAAACGCACAGGGTTGTGTACTGTACACTAGGGGTTGTGAGTCTGCACACAACGTTGGCTCCAACGTTGACAAGGCGTTGTACCCTAGCCTTGCTCCAAGGCTGTACTGAATGCTAAGCCCATGGATACATAGTAATTCTTTCCTTTAAAGAGGCAAATCTAGGTAAGCGGACAGTACGCCAGTCTGTTATATATATTTCTTTAGAATGGTTCATTAAACTCTCAATTAATACCTGAGCAAGTCTACGTTGTACCACAGCGCTACCATTGCCTTAAGTCTGTGTTAAAGTATGGGAGTTACGATCACTTTAACGATACGATCGCTCTGTACAACGTGCAGCATATCTTCCCTTACACAATCGTGTACATGTGCTCCTATCTTTTAAGGCGTCGCTATTTGCTATGCAGAGATATGTGAGTACCTTTGAGCAAGACAGAACACAATCACCGTGGGTTAGAATCCCGGTCGGTTCGTTGTATGTTTCTAGGATTTTCAGCACCATGCCATGATGTGGTTAACCGAAGTGGTAAATGTTTGAGAATTGAGTGAGTGAGTTTAGTTTTACGCCGCACTCAGCAATATTCGAGATGTATGGCGGTGGTCTGTAAATAATGGAGTCTGGACCAGACAATCGAGTGACTATGAGCATCGATCTACAAATTGGGATACGATGACATGTGCCAACCAAGTCTGCAAGCCTGACCACCACCCGATCCCGTTAGTCGCCTCTTACGACAAGCATGGGCGACTGAAGATCAATTCTAACCCGGATCTTCGCGGGTTCCTTCATAAAGTCGACACGTCGGCTTCTCTTAAAAACAAGTAGGGGAACTCATTTTGGATTTACGATTGAAAAATTGGGAGACATATCGGAGTGAGTCAATTTTGATGTGATAATAATGAATGTTGTGAGAATGCATCACCTCTGCACTTCTTTATGACCATAGTTGTTTGTACAGTAATCGCTCTTGATGATTGGTGGGTGACGTGAAATTTGCATGTGTACGATTTTCAGAAACGAACATTAACAGCTGTGTGATGCAAGATGATCGCCAAAATTAATGGTCTACCTGCATCACTTCGGGGTTCACCCTTCATGAAGCTGGTACCCGTCATATAACTGGAACTCTGTTCAAAACGGGTTAAACCCACTCACTCACTCTTCTGATTAGTTAAGTATCATCTCTGATATTACAGATATGCATCAAATGGGATTTATATTCAACAGGCGTAACTCGGTTCCTATCGGCGTACAGGGTCGACCACAAAGGAGGATCGTCCATCACAAGTCCCCCCGCTGCTAATGTGTTCACCAGTCAAGGCCTGACTCAGTCACAGACTATAAGACCCTCTCTTGCCGATGGTGACACTGTGCGCTTCTGGGTTCGAGCTTATGACATCAAGTCGGACATGAAAGAAGAGAGCGTGACAGTCCATATCGACACATCACCTCCAGTCATAGAGAACCTGTGGCTCACCAGAGGAGACAGACTCAATCTCAACGTTCACAATGTGGAGGAATTCGCCGAAATGACGTAAGTAGTTTTAAAATTAATATCAGCTTAATATTCTTGCCACGGACGTATCTGAATGTCTAAGGGCACATTTGTCAAAATTATTCGGAATTTTGATGCGTAAGAAATACTTCTCTTAACAATGCAAATATCATCTTCGATCTTGGTTTGAACCACCGCTCCGGTTTTAATACTTTCTGCCTACCAGTGTTTGTTGGATTCGGCATTTGGGTGTGTACGAATGACAGTTTCTAGCCATGCAGGAATCCGCTTGTTCTGGGTTCGAATCCCCACATCGGTTGTTATTCTTTTTGTGTACAGTTGTTTGTTGGACTCACTTAATCGTGGAAATATTCGCTGGTCTAAGGACCCTTAGTTCTTTTACATTCTCTCCACAATAGTTTGTGGGTTCACAAGAGCAGAATTCATCACTGGCTTGGAGATGCAGCATTATGACAACACAGCGACATTAAGACTTACCTCTGGGTCTCTCATTGTATATCACTGTGAAATATATTACAATGATATATGAAAGTGAGTGTTAACATGATAAAATGACTGTATTTACAGGATGGAGTGGGTCGCATACGATGAGCACAGCGGTTTAGAGACGGTGTCATGGCAGATTGTGGATAGGTACCACGGTCGCAACATCGTGCATGGAGTTCAGCACATCGCGGCGCAAGGGGAGACAACGGTAAGAAAATCTGTCCAGCCAAAACTATTAACAGCCGAGTTATCGAACTTGATTTTTATCCCATTGTGATACTTTCGACCTGTATCTAACAGTGAATGTTAACTAACGTTATTTGTGCGTGATTGTAATGTTTATTGTATATAATACAGTCAAATGTTTGGTAAAACAGAGCATTGCTGACTGCAAGACCACTTATGCTGGTGTCGCAAGGGGAGCTAACTGCTACTGCACGCCGGTCAAAGGTTGCTACCATCGTCACTTTCAAGTAAAACCTACCGTAGTAGACAGCAGTCTTTCACATGGAGGAATATTCAGTGACAAAAGCAAGGGATCACACGACGCGGACTACCATCTAGAGGTCACTGTAACAAACCACGCAAAACTTACAACAAAGCTGCGGTTTAAAGTGAGTGGAACGTCTTTTTTCACTTGCTTGACAACGATACAAGAATCTGTATCGAAACGTCGTACTTCCCGAATAAAGAACGTTGTTCATCCATAAAGTTTGTTCTTATCTGATTCAACAGCTTCTACATGTGCCACTCAAAGATGTTGTCTTTTTGTGCATGATAAATGTTTTTCTGATATATTCCTTAAAGGGTGAAGTTTTATAGCTTGTTTATTATGAGGAGCACTACATTTCTGGGAATCTTCAAACTCCTTCATCGTTGTTTCATTAACATAATGAAATGAGGCCACTTAATATACTGGACAAAATAAGTTAGGGATATTGGTATTTATATGATTGATGTTTTATTAATGTGTCAAAGAATAAATACATCATTATTCATAATTTCAAAATTTACATATATCTCTTAGCTATTTTTGTCCAGTATATAAAGCTGTGTTCACACGAGCATGCACTAAGCGTATACAACATATCTGGACATTATTACCCCGGATAACCCACGTTGCCTGTGAGGCGCAAGATGGTTAATACATAATAGTCATATGACTTATCCCATCTGTACCCACTTTCTGATGAGTGAATAAATTTTGAACAAACTTACTTTCCTGAGGTAAGTCCAAATGTGTGGGATGTGTTGCGTTGTGGAGCAGGTACGAAGTCCTAGAAACTTCTAGATTCCGTAACCAACGTTGCTTAGCTTCTGATTTTTGACTGGGGCTCTATGCACAAGACCACACACCACACACAAAGAGAGTGGTGTCAAACTGGTGATGGATATGGAATATACTCTGTAACATCGTGCTCTTAATATTACAAAAATGACATTCATAAATTTCTAAATTATTTTGTAAATGCCATTTTCTGTTGTTTAAAACTACTCCTTTACGTTCTGATCCAGGTGACGATAGACGCAAGCCCTCCCAGTCCTGGCGTTGTCCACGATGGTCAGTCTGGGCGCCCGGAAGTGGACTACCAGAACAGTCGGCAGCTCCAAGCCCACTGGGACGGGTTCTTTGACAAAGAGAGTTGGGGTCAAATTCTACCAATACAGATTTGGCTCAAACTGTTTCCAAGCAAATGATTTTTCATTAGAAGCTCGTCCACAGGTATACAGAACTATCCAATAACGTATCTACACTTGTCAATATATTATGCATATAATAGGATCTACAGGAAGATATAGCATCTGTGCCTTTTCAGTCTAGGGACCAATTTTCAATAGAATTTCTTGTTAAGCCATATCTAAACAGAGTTTTGAATAAACTTTCACATAATAATAATAATGGCCATTTATTAAGCTCAAGTTTCCACACACTTGTGCATGCTAAAAGAACTAACACATTATTACCCAAAATAACGCAAGCTGTCTGTAAGGCGCTAGAAGAGTAATAGTCACATGAGTTATCCCACCAGGTACCCATTTTCTGCTTGGGACAATTTTGAACAAAGTCACTTGCCTATGGTGAGACCACATGTCATCACATGTGCTTCGTTGTGGGCCAGAAATGAAGTCCTAAAAACTCTCAGGAGTCAAGCTGCCAAACACGGTCACCCATTCAAGAAATATCCGCTCACAACGTTGCTTAACTTCAACTGATTTGTGACCTGAGCTCTATGCACAGGACCACACACCACCACACATGCATTGCACACAATGTAAGTCATGGGTACATATGTGCACGACGGTTTGGTTTCGTACGAGGCCATTTGTCGAAACCAGTGTGGTTTGGAAGTTTAATCAATACTAGTATATACGTAATCTTGCACGCAGGTCACTGAAACATCTTCCACATCCGCCTCCTGGACAGCGCCCTCTGCTGGCAAGTATCACGTGACAGTGGTGGCCTACAATCGAGCATTGGAAGCATCTGACCCAGTGTGTTCTGACGGAGTGACTATAGACACAACACCGCCCAGTGTCAGTGAGGTGGCAGTGAGGGACTCCAGGGTGATGGGGGGCCTGGTCAAGACATCTGATAATGATGTATGGTTCATCGACATCCACAGAAGACGTAGCCAAGTAGTAACTCCTGGTAGCAGTTGCAGGTACATATAAATACTCCTGTCCCTTGTCTCATAGTCTCCGAACCATACCGTTTCCCTTCTCTCCAGCCTTTCTTCAATGCAATAGTCTTCAGGAACCAGCTCTTTTCTCGCGTTCAGGATCTTTGATTCTCCTTTGTTACTCGGGCTTCTTTTCAATTCAAATGCAGTAATTTGTTTCTGGCCAAATTTTATGTTTCAGAGACTAAGTGTTTTGTTACGTTGGTTGGTAGAAGATGTTTGGGTATATCTGTGATAATGTGTATTTCATGAATGTTGCTTTCTGCAGATCCAAGGCCACGTTAGTAGATGACGGGAAGCTTTCCCTGTTTCCAGTACATCGTTACCTCAACGGAAGTGGTATGCAGCTCTCCAACACTGAATGTGACTCTCTCATGGCATTGCCCGCCACCTTTACCAACACACTTTACGTCTACAAAGAACACCATGTGAGTATATGACGACGTCATGGGCTGCCCACGCGTCTTCTACAGTTCGCTGAGTTGCTGCCCGTGGGCAAGCCGGATTGTCGTTTCAAATCCTTTTTCGCCCAGATAATGTTTCTAGGTTTGTCAGAACCTTCATTTTGTCCTCCAGTATTTTACAGTTACCAAGGAGATAAACGTCATGGGATTTCCTCCCATATTCAGCTTAGATAGCAATGAAACTGTTCAAATCGGCATTAGCTGCATCTTACCAGGGTGCTTGTAAGAGGTGACTAACGGAGGGTCGGGTGGTCAGGCTTGTTGATGTGGCAGATGCATGTCGTCGTACTTAATTCCGAGATCGATGCTCATGATATCAATCACTGTATTGTCTGGTCCAGACGGATCGCCGTCATATAGCTCTGGAATATTCGACTTCTGCGTTAAACAACATAAACACATGCAGTAGGACGGTGCTCAATGTTTCAGTTGACCTAACAATCTTCGTCAAGTCAGGACCGCCTCCGTGGTGTAGTGGTTATAGCGTTCGCCCGGAGAGCGGAAGGTCGCGGGTTCGATCCCCGACCGCCTCATACCAAAAAGACGTTAAAATATGGTACTTGCTCGGCATTAACGGGTACAAAACAAGGACTGGTCGACTTGGAGTCAGTATAATGTGTCTGAGTACGGTATTCGTGCTTCACTGCGGCATGGTATCTCAGTGGGCTAGCACTATAAAACCAGCTTCAGTCTGGGCATAGGACAAGCAGCCGCACATACACATACACACGCATGCATGTCGTCATATGAGCGAAATATTCTCAAGCACGACGTTAAACCCAATTTCACCTCACCTTCGTCAAGTCAGCGCTTTGTAGAACGTATTGCATGGCAAACTTAAGCTCGCAAGTCACCTCTCCTTACTATTAAGCATGAATATGAATTCAGTAGCTGTGGTGCTTTCTATATATGATTCCATCATAATATTTTCATTGCAGTTATAGGGGTGGTGGGGTGGTCTAGTGGTTAAAGAGTTCGCTCATCACGCCGAAGACAAGGGTTCTATTCCCCACATGAGTGCAATGTGAGAAGCCCATTTCTGGTGTCCCCCGCCGTGATATTGACGGAATATTGCTAAACTCACTCACTCACTCACTCACTAACTCATTGCAGTTATATGTAAACTGGACTGGCAGTGACACAGACAGCGGCATCTATGACTACGAGCTGGGACTGACGTCAGATCCCTCTGTTGAAACAGCTCCAGATATCCTCCCCTACACATCCACTCACCATCATCCTCAGTATCAGGGCTTCCACCCTCGTCTCAGTGAAGGCCAACGGTTCTACATCGCCATCAAGGCCATCAACAAAGCTGGACTTAAAAGCATAAAGGTAGGACCATAACACTTCACTGAATGCTGAACTTATGGTGCGTTCTCACAGTGCGACTTGCAGTAATAATAAAGATCGTAACGACTGAGTTTCCTGTGTTTTTTAAGTCGCATAAAACTCTTATCTTGCGAGATTCACAAGCTTGATTCGGCAACACTGATTCTTCAAATGAAGAAAAGACTCTTGCCTTATTGTCAGTATGTGTATCTAAGTCAATAAAATGAAGAAAAGAAGTAAAAGTCAGTGTGGTTTCGCAACTGGATTCTCACGCGAAATAACTTTCACTTTCTTTTCTTGTAAGATCGAGTTTTTCTGTCGTGTCCCCGAAATAATGTCACCACAAACGAAGGAACGTCTCTCTGACGTCACTCTAAGCCATCTGATTGGTCGTGAGCCTGCGACTTGTTGTTGGAACAAGTCCTTTGTCTTACAGCTCGGCTGCTGCTAGCTGTATGCGATTTAAAACCGTTACGATTAGGTGTTTCCGATGTTGCAACCACATCGTAGGCTACAGTTTGTAACTACAAGTCGCACGGTGAGAATGCACCGTACCAGATATTCTCCTCTCTTTTTACAGAATGGTGAACATATCCACGGCATGAGTGAGGAGAATCGTTCAGCTTTTTTATATGTATGGTACGCGAACTGTCACCACTTGACAACCAAATATTTTTTTAAATACTATCTGGTACTTTGTTCCCTTCAAAGGTCATTGGTCCCGTAGTTGTTCATACAACGTACCCTGGATTTTCTGGCGTTGTGAGGGTGAGAGTTGGTAGTAGTCACCTCCTGGCACAGTGGTCCGACAACGCTTTCTCCGACCCAGAGACAGCCTATCTCAAGTATGAAGTAGCTGTTGGTAAGTAGATTTTGTTTGTTTGTTGCTTAAAGCCGAATTCAGCAATAATCCAGCTTTTTGGCGGCGGTAGGTAAATAATCGAATCTGGACCAAACAATCCAGTGATCACCAGCATGATCATCGATCAACACAACTGGGATGCGATGGCATGTGCGAACCAAGTCAGCGAGGCTGACCACCTGATCTCTTTAGCCGCCACTTACGATAAGCATGGGTTACAGAAAACCAATTCTTCATGGTAATATCGGTATATAAGGTGAACAAAATTCAACACATTCTAACCCCGATCAGCCAGTACAGTTTAGTTGTTTGCATGCAGGATCCGAAGACAATCGAACGACAGTATTTCCCTTCACGGCGCTGCAGTCAGGAGAAGGATGTACGCTGACATCCCCACCCACGTGTACAGCTGTCGCCCTCACAGACCTCCACTGGGACCTCCACCACAGCCACACCTACTTGGTGTCAGTCAGGGTCACCAACATAGTCGGACTGTCCACAGTGGCTGTTTCTGAGCCCTATGTCCATGACGTCGCGCTGCCGTCACGTGGTGTAGTGGAAGACGTCATTCCAGCTAGTGAAGAAGCCTTGTTTGATATGAAAGTAAGAAAATGTAGTTTATGACATCCGTTGATTTTTATTACTCACAATGCACCATTCAAACGAACTGTATGTAACACCCCGGGTTTTGCAACAGTGTTGGCAGTACGATATCTGTTGTTGTAGGTACGATAACTTGTGTGTAATGTTTGCCATATGCTGACTCATGCTATATGCTTATCATAAAAAGTACAACTTGCTGTTGTTGGAATAGAAATTTAGTTGTAGGTACAACATGCTGTTGTAATTGCAACATTGTGTTTCATGTTTTTTAACTTGCTGTTATGGGGACGATTACTTGCACATGGCAACTTGCTGTTGTAGAAACTGATGTTGTATGTTTGATCAATCTTTCTTGTTGTAGGTTTGATCAATCTTTCTTGTTGAAGGTATGATATTTTTTTGGTGTTGTAGGTATGATATATTTTTGGTGTTGTAGGTATGTGTTGTAGGTATGATATTTGTGGTGTTGTAGGTATGATATTGTGGTGTTGTAGGTATGATATTTTGGTGTTGTAGGTATGATATTGTTGTAGGTTGATATTTTGGTGTTGTTGTAGGTGGTGTATGATGATTTTGGTGTTGTAGGTATGATATTTTGGTGTTGTAGGTATGATATTTTGGTGTTGTAGGTATGATATTTTGGTGTTGTAGGTATGATATTTTGGTGTTGTAGGTATGATATTTTGGTGTTGTAGGTATGATATTTTGGTGTTGTAGGTATGATATTTTGGTGTTGTAGGTATGATATTTTGGTGTTGTAGGTATGATATTTTGGTGTTGTAGGTGATATTTTTGGTGTTGTAGGTATGATATTTTGGTGTTGTAGGTATGATATTTTGGTGTTGTAGGTATGATATTTTGGTGTTGTAGGTATGATATTTTGGTGTTGTAGGGTATGATGTTTTTGGTGTATGATAGGTATGATATTTTGGTGTTGTAGTATGATATGATATTTTGGTGTTGTAGGTATGATATTTTGGTGTTGTAGGTATGATATTTTGGTGTTGTAGGTATGATATTTTGGTGTTGTAGGTATGATATTTTGGTGTTGTAGGTTGATATTTTGGTGTTGTAGGTATGATATTTTGGTGTTGTAGGTATGATATTTTGGTGTTGTAGGTATGATATTTTGGTGTTGTAGGTATGATATTTTGGTGTTGTAGGGTGATGATATTTTGGTGTTGTAGGTATGATATTTTGGTGTTGTAGGTATGATATTTTGGTGTTGTAGGTGTGATATTTTGATGTAGTAGGTGTGATATATTGTGGTGTTGTAGGTATGATATTTTGGTGTTGTAGGTATGATATTTTTGGTGTTGTAGGTAGGTATGATATTTTGGTGTTGTAGGTATGATATTTTGGTGTTGTAGGTATGATATAGGGTGTGATATTTTGGTGTTGTAGGCATGATATTTTGGTGTTGTAGGTATGATATTTTGGTGGTGTTGTAGGTATGATATTTTTGGTGTTGTAGGTATGATATGTTGTGGTGTTGTGAAGGTATGATATTTTGGTGTTGTAGGTATGATTTGTAGGTATGATATTTTGGTGTTGTAGGTATGATATTTTGGTGTTGTAGGTATGATATTTTGGTGTTGTAGGTATGATATTTTGGTGTTGTAGGTATGATATTTTGGTGTTGTAGGTATGATATTTTGGTGTTGTAGGTATGATATTTTGGTGTTGTAGGTATGATATTTTGGTATGATATTTTTGGTGTTGTAGGTATGATATTTTGGTGTTGTAGGTATGATATTTTGGTGTTGTAGGTATGATATTTTGGTGTTGTAGGTATGATATTTTGGTGTTGAAGGTATGATATTTTGGTGTTGTAGGTATGATATTTTGGTGTTGTAGGTATGATATTTTGGTGTTGTAGGTATGATATTGTAGGTATGATATTTTGGTGTTGTAGGTATGATATATTGAAGGTATGGTGTTGTAGGTATGATATTTTGATAGGTGAAGGTATGATATTTTGGTGTTGTAGGTATGATATTTTGGTGTTGTAGGTATGATATTTTGGTGTTGAAGGTGTGATATTTTGATGTTGTAGGCATTTGAGGACACTGACCACCAAGTGTCTACCTCTGTCCTAAGAGCCAGGTGGTACGGGTTCGACACAGGGGTCAGCGCCGTAACCTACAAGGTTGGAATCGGGTCTCGGCCTTCGCAGACTGACGTCAAGGAACTGGTGTCAGTGGGAAACAAACTGCAACATGAATTTAGTGGCTTAAGTCTGGAAGAAAATATGGTAGGAATATGAACAGAGACAATCCTTTAGTTCAGTTATTCTCCCATATCGCACAATACATACATGATAAAGGAATAGACGGACACTTTTGATTATATCAATGATATTACTCTGTATAAATGAAATATAGGTAATTGTAGACTATTTACTACAATGAACGTGTTTAGTGTTGGAATCACATAGATGTGTTTCATCAACAAACTGCCGTTAATCTTGCATGATATAGAAATATATATTAACGTTTATTATAAATTATATGCTCATATGTTAAAGCAAGTAAAAAGTAATTTTAGTAAAAATACGTGTGCTACTTGTGCTATGAAGGCTGCTTGATTTCTTATTTCTTGGCCAGTTGAGGAAAATCCAAATTGAGATGGACACATATTAGTCTTTATTTGGATTGCCCATGGCGCCCGTCAGCGAGACATGTTAACTCCATAGGACATGAGTTTGGCACCTTCTGATAATATAAGACAGTTGTATAATGTGCTGGATACACTTGTCAGTGAGGCGAATGGTATTGTTTTCAGGGAGTAAAGTGGTTTATATTCTCCTTCCAGAAGTATTTTGTTACTGTTGTGGCTGCTGCTGAAGGAGGGGAGATAACTGCATCCTCTGATGGTGTGACGATCGTCAGGTCAAATGTTGATGTCACAGACGTCACCATCAGAGATGGACCAGGATGCAGTGATTCTGGTAGGTGAAAGGAGTCGTTACCATGAAGTATCTTTTCATTCACTGATAGCTCACTTTTGCCTTATACACATTAACAGTTGATCCATGTCTTCTTCTGTATATTTCTGCATATATCATGGATTTAAATGGTGTAGAATATGCACCATTTTACCACAGTATATAAGTACAACTATTTGCAAAAGAGAAAATGCCAGCATATCCAATATATTTTGTGTATAAAAAAGAAAAACTAATTTCGTTTCTACCGCCTATACATAGGTTGTTTTTGGTTTGTACGTATAGAAGTATTTTACCATTTCTTTCTTCAGTTTTAGTTTCATTCTACTCTTAACTTTACTTTATTTCATATTGTATGCGGTTTATTGGGATTGCATATGAATTACCCACTGAAAATATCACCAATGAGTTTATATTTGTGTGTTTGTGACGATCATATTAAATTTAATGTTATATTTACTATGACCACTTTGTGTGTGTGTGTGTGTGTGTGCGTGCGTGCATGTGCGGGCAGTCATGCATGGATTCGCTCATTCGCACACGTAACCATGCTATAAATATATGTGTGTGCTTTTTTACTGTGGTTTAAACAATGTTATCTTCATCTTTGATTTACTAACAGTAACACCGAAATACATTCCGGTTATATTCACCTATTATTCCATGATATCACATTCATTAGATCCCATCACATGAATCATTCATATGTTTTCATAAACTATATTCATTCTGTTATTATATTCAACGAACATTACCGTGGATGTCTACATCTTACATTTATTTTTAAACAGTGTCATTTACGGCAAATTGAAAGATTATCATTTAGAGCAAATTGAAACATTTTCATTTAAATCTTTTACGTTTGAAACTAGTTGGGTGGGAGACAGAGCCCAGATACTCAAGTATTGTTTTGTTGTCACCTTCAAATTGGCGCTTATGGATGTCAAGGGCATTATCTCCATGCTTGTAAAGAAGCTGCAGAGTCGTTGTTTAGCTGTTGGATTGCTCTGTCTTCATACAAGTCAATGGCTTTCATGGTAGATGTCGGGTTGCGATCCGTTTATTAACAGGCTCAGCTTACAATGCCTTAGCTTACAAAATCTTATGCTAGTATGTCTTTTAGATGTACAGCGATGCGACGTAAATAAACATATGTCTGTCTGTCTGTCACTTCCAATGCAATCACCACTGTCTGCTTATCTGCGACGTGCATTAGATCATGACTACTCACATAGCGTACAATGCGCCAGGAAAAGTAGCGGCGCCCCGTTTCACAAAGCTATCGTAGCGCTACGACTGTCGTACCTCCTCTACTGGAACATGCACTTACGACAGTCGGATCGCTACGATTGCTGTGTGAAACGGGGCCCAGACGCCAAAATCACTTACCAGTCATTGCCAGGAGTGTAGCAACCCCGATAACACGATGGTGTGCTGATTAAAACTCAAACATAAATGTTACTCTCTACCATAGAAGCGATTCATTTTGCGCAAACAGAACAATTACATAACATAATATAAAAATAATACATAGCAGTTATCTCCCTTATATGTTACATACAACGAAAGCATTTTTGCAAATATAATCTATATAAGATTGTTTTTTTATCTGACAGTATATATCTCATCTTTGCATCATTGTTTGGGTTGTATGTATCTCGTCAATACAAATAACATTTTGCAGTGTTTTAAGCATAAACATGTATTAGGGTATTAAGTTTACGTATTGGTTGTATTGAAACTGTAGACCTTCTATATGCAGGTATTGAACACTTGGCGGGACAAGAAAACCAACAGGTAAAGATGCTGATTGTGGTTATGGGTGAGACATCAAGTCTGGATGCATGCAATAAGATGATGTAACTAGGGAAACTTGATATAGTTGTAACTGCAAAACTAGATATGCTTACATTAAGTCAAAACGATGGCCTTAACTTCTTTGTTGAAAAGAACAATTCTGGCAATAATGTGTTTGTTGTGTCAAAAAAATTCTGTTTTGGTCAATAGTTGGATGCGGAATATTTATTCAAAAGTCTTTTTCTGGGACATACGGTGTAACACCATAGGACAACCCAATATTAATGCAGAAAAAAGGAAAACATTTCATTTTAGACTTTCAGGAAATGTGGTCATGGCGCATATTCCTTTAGTGCAATTTTTGGTTAAAACACACATTGGGGGTGGTTTGGTAACCTGGTGGTTAAAGCGTTCGACCGTCATACTGAAGACATGGGTTCGATTTCCTACATATGTAAAATGTTTCAAACCTCTTTCTGGTGTCCCTGCGCTGATATTGAAGGGAAATTGCTAAAAATGGCATATAAACCTTAAATGGTTGCCATATAACCTATCACTACAAACAAATTACATATGTTTAGAAATCATGATAACAAATACTGAAGTTTAATGTATATCAATACTTTTGTTGTCTTCTATAATTTTGCATGGAACATTTTGTACGGATTGTGAATGGTGACAACAGGAGGTTGCAGGTAAATCACCACAAGGTTAGGATCCAAATGCAAGAACAGGAACAAGTAACGGACCATGCTAGGCCTGAGCTGCAGGTTGTGCAATTCCCGTTAATATTGGTATTCTGTCTGTATACAGGTGTGCACTAACGATATTGCATACCAAGTGTCTCCATCAACATATTCTGCCCACTGGGCGAGAAGTGCTGTCAGTAAACAGAGGTACCCGGATGTATACTGGAGTCTGCAGGAAAAGTTTCCCCGATCAGGTGAGTCTTTTACTAAGTAACTCGCAACGCATTGGTTGTATAACAAAATCATGGTTTTGAAAATATATATCAACATAGATCTAGCAAAGGATTGTATTTGGTGATGTTGCAGATGGTTTGTGGCACGACGTGAGAGATTACGAGCATCTTGGGACCTCGGAGAAGATTGCAGTAGGAGGTGTTGCTCTAGAGCCAGGTCAAACCTACAGGGCCGCTGTCAAGTTCTGTGCTGGTAAAGTCTGTACGAATCCCATCCACAGTGATGGTGTGACGGTCATACATCATCCCCCAGCACCTGGAAGCTTGGCTCTGACATATCAGGAATCTGGGGGGGGACAGGCACAGGTCAGTTCCTTGCTGTGTTTTGTTCTATCTGTTGTATTTAGAATGATTTTTTGTGTCGTTTATTGCTTAACGCCGCTCTCCGCCGTGACTATTTCATTTTATAATCATACCTAAATTATAGTGATATATAGAGACTATTACACGTATTAAACGTATTTATTATCCATTTTATTCATGTAAAACACGGTAAGCAAATGTGACGTTAAACTGTTAGACGAAATACAGAAACAATGGTTGCTAAGCAAAAGTGATATGTGCCCATATGATATATATGACACTGGTTACGTTTCACCATATGGGTAATAAAGTAATTATAGTGATCAGCACAGCAATCAGCAATATTCCAGCTATGTAAATAAATAATTGCGTCTTATCAACAGCATGAGCATCGATCTATGCAATTGGGATATGATGACATGTGTCAACCACGTCAGCTAATTGACCACCCGATCCCGTTAGTCGCCATTTACGACAAGCATTGGTTGCTGAAGACGTATTGGCAGAATGCTAATGGCAAACTGTCTTTGTAGATCCAGGTGACGATGACTCGGTTCCGAGATCCTGACATACCGGTGGAATCAGAATCCTTTGACGTTATGGACAAGTACGAGTGGGGACTCACAGATGACAGTCACAGCAGCAAGTTGTTCCACAACTGGCAGAAGGTCGATGCCGAAAGTATTACCACCGACGGCAACAAGGTAGTTGTGTTCTTCACGTATTCATTATAACTAAACGTTAATTTGATTTCAACAACTGTAATGGCCAAAACTCGTCTTCACGAACCACCTCATCACCTACGACCGTAATGTACCTCCAACCGCTTTTTGTACAAAGTTTAGCAATATGTTTTGTTGCAGTAATATGTTGTCTTTTACATTTGGATGCTGAGCAGGCATGAACTATTTCTGCAGTAGATAATGTTTTGGTTTTGTTGCAGATACGTTTCCAGATAACTCTTCCACATCATCTGACCTTTATCAAGTGTAGAAGACTGGCAGTCAGGGGTTACAACCATGTTGGCTTATATTCTACAGTATCAGCAGATGTCAAGGACTGTAGAGCATTTGATCCACTGAATATTGTACCTGCAGTTGTTATAGATGCTATAGGTAAGATCATTTTAAGCTAAGCTCAACTGCAGATTCGTGCAGTGTCGTAGTATGATATATAATAATTATTAGGGCAAAGAAATGCAGAGTAATGGGTGAGTGAGTGAGTATGGTTTTACGTCGCTTTTAGCAATATTCCAGCAATATCACGGCGGGGGGCACCAGAAATGAGTTTCAGACATTGTACTCATGTGGGGAATCGAACCCGTGTCTTCCGCGTGACGAGGGAACGCTTTAACCACTAGGCTACCCCACCGCCCCTAGAGTAATGGGAGAAGTTCAGCAGTATATATAAAATTAATTAAAGTATAAAGAAATCCACAAAATAATGACAACACGAATTCACCTAGGCGTTTCAACTTTATCTTCAAGGATATATACTAGCCACATAAAGAAACTATGCATTGTCAAAATATTATCCCAGTTGATAAGTACGAAAACAATGTCAAAGGTACATATAAACATTAATGGAGGGATCATGAGACCAAAACAAGTCGGGAGAATTTCAATTGAATAGTCAATCACAATGACGTCACGAGGCCACAAGCGGTTGTGGTGTTACAAGAAATCCATAGCAACCCTTGCCGTATGAGGGCGGGCATTGTCCTGTTGGAATGTTAACCCAGGGCCATGAATTGCCACAGGTCGAAGAATCTGATCCCTGTAGCCCACACCAGTTACGTTTCCCTGAACAATCACCAAAGGAGTTCTTTGGCGTGCTGTTATTCCACCCCAAATCATCACGGAACCACCACCAAAGCGATTCCTCTCCAAGACACAGGCCTGTGCATAACGTTCTCCCACGCGTCTATATGCACGTTGACGTCCATCACTATGGGAAATGTTAAACCTTGACTCATCTGTAAAAACAACATTTCTCCACCAAAACAAGGGTCTGCGGACATGATTCCGGCACCACATTCGGCGAGCTTGTCGATGACGTTGTGTCAGGACAGACCGTATGGCGGGACGTCGTGGTCTGATCCCGTGAGGGTGTGGATACGGCGAAGTCCTGGGATGGTTCGGGCAGTCATCACTGCAGTCTGAAACCTGTGGCGAAGATGGGTGACCCTTATCCATCTGTCCTGTCTTGGCGTTGTTACACGTGGACGTCCAGAACGTGGCCGACTGATGACGTCATTTGTGTTCTGGTAGCGTCTCACCAGTGCAGAAATGGTGTTCCGGTGGCAGTGGAAATGTGCAGCCACTTGTCGTTGAGACATTCCCCCACGGACCATCCCAATGGCCTCATGACGTTGTGCAGACGTGAGCCTTGGCATGCTATGCGTTTCAATAGCCGTTTAATTTTTTGAACGATCGCAAGGGCAGGGGTTGAGCTTTCCAAAGTGACAGTATTGTGTGGCATTCATTTGCTCTGTTTCTGTTTCCCGGAATGCACGTGCAACAACGTATTGCACGTCTCAAGGACGAACCCACTGACGTCACGGAACGTGGCACGTGCATGCATGTTGGATACATGTCACTATTCTTTGAGTTTAAATCCTTATGTGTCTACACAGGTTTGATAAATTTAGATTTTAAATTTTTGTATGCACAGTTTCTTTATGTGCCTAGTATATATATATATCGATGGCTCATCTTTGCAATGAACCATAGATTTCACAGAACATTCAACTGTAATATACTCACTGGGACTTTATATGGAGCAATGTTGTTTTGAGAATGACAAATGACGTGTGCTCAATAGCACAACAGGGAAGCGCATCTGTGCTTATCGGGAATGACAGCTGGTATGCAGGCTCCTCCGATTTTCTGTCCTAAATACCGAGCAAAACCCCGGACATACGTGTAATGCATGACTTGTACAAATATACACATTTACGACTATGCGATTATATTCAATACTATCCACTTAACTTGTCGACACATGTGTGGGTGACTCTAAAACCTGTGGCCTTCGGGTCTTCGGCACGACGAGCGAACGTTTTAACCACTATGCTACCCCACCGCCCCACACGCGGAATACAAATAATAGATGCGTTTCATGAATATATGCTATTGAAAAATTGTGTCCGGTTATTTCAGGCAAAGCCAAATCATCTGATGAGGGTTACAGCATCAGCTTAGTTCAGAACAACCGCTGGGTCCACGACGACGTCGACTACACCCCCTACAAGAATATCCTGTCCGCTGTGTGGCCCACTCTGCGTCACAGGAACTACACGTGGGCAGTGGTGTCGGGTGACCAGGTTGACCCATCGTCTCATTACAAGAAGGACAGTCTGATGACCGTCACTGACCCCTGCAGCATGCCGGATGTCGTCAGGTGTGGACAGACAGGTGCGTGTGTAAACCATGTACATTACGAGGAGATCCTGAAAACATGTTGTTGTTGTTGTTGATGATGATGGTCGTCATCTGTCGTAATCTGAAAGTTTCCTGCCTATTTCAACTACCACGCTCCCGGCATATTCCAGCGTATTCCAGCTTATTCTAGCCGAGTAAGGCCACACTGTCTTTTCCACCCTGTTAAAACGTCATCATTATTTGACCGCAAGAAAAAGCAATGGGTTTTTTTCGGATTGACCGGTTGACCGGTTCGTCGTCTGTGTTCAACAACTGATAACCCCACAAGCCGAGAACGCTTTTATTGAAGTCGGGGAAAACTGTCATTCCTTCTCCCAAACAAACTTTTCTGCAGGGTTGACAATCGGTCTTTGCATTATTGTAGCAAATATGAAGCGTGCTGTCGTATGTTCGTGCGTGTTCGTGCGTGTGTGCTTGCACGTGTGTCTGCGGGGGCGCTTGTGTTTATGCTGATATTATCCCGGACTAATAAATGTATTATGATGCTCGTCAACTATAATGGTGATGATGGCGATGTCCAAAACTAACACGACCATGAGGTGAAAAGAGAGAAGGTAACAGTTCAGTCACCTTGAGGTAAACTCACAAATGCGTTCTGAATTGGTTCTCTATGGAATCTGACATATTCAAGTGTATCATAGGTGTTCGAACTTGTCAACAATGTGTTGTTATCGGGACTATGTCAGTTTCAATCAATGCTAGTTCAATGAACTGTCACACTTCTACGTATTCATTGAATATATATTTCCAGCTGATGAGTTCCTTAACGTTGATCTCAGCGACGGAAGTTACCTTCAGCACGGGAAGAGGTTTTATGTGTGCATCCACGCTGACGAAAAGTACACTCAATTTGAGAAGTGGCCGTTCCCGCTGGCTGAAGTGAACGCCTGCAGTGACGGCATCACAGTCGACCTCACGCCACCTACAGCGGGGACAGTACGCATCGGAGGTCTTACTGGGATGTATCAGGTATACAGGATGTAATTTAAACACCACGGACATTAGTATCTTCATGTCCCTTTACATCGCCCAATGCAGTGATAAAAGTGATATTGCTGGAATATTGCTAAGAGCGGCGTAAAACTAAACTCACTCTGCTGGGAACGGGTCTTGCTTGCTTGCCCAAATTCCATCTGTACCCAGTAGGAATAAGTGAGAAAGCCAGAATGTTTAAGCGCCACTTTGAACTGTATTCCAGTTACATTACATGTCAGTTTAAAGTGGGAGGAAATCCCGAAGTAATGGCGGTCTCACAATGTACAACTGAAGTGGCACCCACGAAACTAGAAGCAAAAGCCGGTGAAAAATGATTCGATCCCACAATTCAATGTTTCTAGTGTCCTAAAGGGACGCAACTCTCTACAGCCAATTGTGGTGGTTTATACGAATGGGCCACAACATTCGTAACCAGTCGCCTCTTTCCGTGACCTACAAGAAGCTTGCCGGAATCACCCCAGTAATTACGAATGGGGCCACACGTGTTGATCAGTATGTGAAAAATCTATCCAATCAGAGGTGAACTTCAGTGAGATTACATTTGGGCAATCACAATATCAGTATATTTGTGCTGACTCAGTAACGTGTGGTATGTTTAAAGGTGAGTACCACGGAAGTTGAGGTGAGGTGGACAGGCTTCACGGATGTGGAGGAACAGAAGTCAGCTTCACACTGGAGTGGAATCGCATCTTATCAAGTTGCCATAGGTACGGTTATACAAGAATAAAACTTTGATTATTCGGGAGTTACTTATACGGGTCAGTCCTTTTCCTTAAAGGTTCATTGAACGTATGTATCAAACTGAAATTGTTGATAAATGTTTCACTTTTGGTTTATAAGTTAAATAAATCTCTTCCCGACAGGTTTTATCTTGCACCAAAATGACCTTATGCTCACATTTACATCCAGTCAATTAGGATTTGTGGAGTCTATTTCAGTAAATTATTTTGAACTTCTTAAAGGAGAATACGAACGAAAACAAAACTTTTGATATATTGTTAAGGATATTCTAAAAGTCACATTTCGTTTATAAAATAGCATTGAAAACGCAAAACGTACTCGTATTTCCGCCTATTACGAAATGATCGGCGCATTTCTCCTGCCGAAATCTGTCATTTCACTTGGAAAACGGAAGAAATGGTGGTTCTTTCCCATGTTCGGTGATGCCGTGCAACCCCAGGCAACGCAATACACCATCGTACCATTTACAAAAACGACAGAAACAACACGATTTGTACTACTGTAGCGCTTGGTCTTTGGCAATATGGCGGACTCCAGGCACATTTGACGTCACGAGCGGAAAGGTCACGTGGGTTCCAGCGAAATATGCATAATGGCCGAAGCTGAGATTTACAGATAATTATACATAATTTTTAATTGAAAATTTGGGAATATGTTTCACCAAGCAAATTATTGCAATTCACTCGTATTATCCTTTAAGTGTCATTTAGAAGCTGGTATAATGAGAAGGAACACGTTTCATGAATGGACATCTTCTTTATTGCAATAGATGCGAAGTTTCGGTGTAAGTGCTAACACTGTTATCAAGTAAATGATGCACAACCTTGTGCACAAGGAGAATATATACATGAAGGGTATTGAATTTGTACAATTGAAGCGGTTGATGTACAACATGTTGTCATTGACGCTTGTTGTGATTACACATAATGATTGAAGCCTGATTGAGGACACATGGAAGGGTTATTCTTGTTTGGCCTTGATAAGAAGATGGTAAGTTGTAAGGATTTAATAACCTCGATCTCTTTGAACATTGCAGGATCTGTTGCCGGTGGCGAAGATGTAGTCAAGTTCACCGATGTCGGTTCTGTGGAGCACGTAACCTTACACAGTCTAAACCTTCAGGCTGGGCGAACGTACTATGCGTCTGTCAAGGGTAATAATATTTCTCTATGTTAAATATTAAATGGGATTCTGGGTCAGAATAGTACCACATGTCGAGCTATAGGACGGCCGTCTGTAAATGATGCAGCCAGACAATCCAGTGGTTGACATCATGAAAATCGATCTTTGTAACTGTGATACGATGAAATACATCAACAAAGTCAGCGAACCTGACCACCTGATCCCGTTTGTCGCCAGTTACGATCAGCATGTATTGCTCCGTGGAAGATGTTCTTCTCACCCGGATCTTCACGGATGTAAAAGTCTGTTAAAGAGGATTGGTTGGTCAGGCTGCCACTGTCACATGCACGGATAGTATGGCTGGGGGTACCTAGTGAACTATTAATGCATTAATCGTGTGCTATTCATTATTCGATTACAGTGTTCATCACTTACTTAGTAACATTAATATACAATCTTGGTTTGCAGCCATAGATTTTGTGAGCAAAACAACAATGGCGGTGTCAAACGGGTTCCTTGTCGACTCCACAGCTCCATCACTAACAGGCCGGCACATACAACTAGAACACAGATACATAGCATCTCGTTTCCTTCATGTTTGGTACGTGGCGCTTCTTTTATATCAAACTATATTAATAATAAAATACAGTACTGATATTGATAATTACCCATAAACAGAGATGGTAATGGATTGTCACTCTGTTCCACTATTTGATGACGTACAAATATATGTTTTACCTTATGTATTCTTACATGATTATCTGATATCATAATATATTGTGTTCTAAAAAAGTAGCATTTAATGAAAAGATCTAAGCCCGATAGTGTAATTTGGGAATGTTTTTAATCTCATTTGGATGACCGTTGTTATTAGCTATTGAGGTGTTTCAAACACTTCTTCACCTTTACAGTTGGACTAATGTATTCTCTGATCTGGAGAGTGGACTGTCGGCATTCATGGTTGCCCTGGGCACCAGACCAGGCTACGATGATTTGGTAGATTACAGCTTTACGAAGGAGGAATGTATCGATATGGACACCAATGGACGCACAGTGGATGGGCACTCTTACTATATCTCATTGAAGGTACATACGTTGAAATGAATTAGAATGAGAAACTTGAGATTGAGTGTCTCTATAGTCGTTAATAACAATCACATCAGCTGTACTATTTTTAATAGTTATGTAATATGATATTTGAATTGGGAACATGCAGCCTTTGGAGTTATTCCTTTACTTCTTGTATTCTTTTTTGAGGTATTACTGCGAATATTCCTTTACTTCTTGTATTTTCCTCAGCTGTCAGTTATGCAATTATATGTTCTCATCTTACAATCGTATAAATGTTGTATTCCTCAGGGATACAACGGTGCAGGCTTGTACACACTCTCCTCTTCGCGCCCTCTGATTGCGGACACCATGCCTCCATCTGCTGGTCATGTCTATGACGGAATACAGTCAACTGCCACGCCTAACGACAAAGACAAGGATTATATCACCAGTGTCTCTGAGATGGAGGCCTACTGGGAAGGTTTTGCCGACCCTCACTCCCCGATTGCTGTGTTCAAGGTGAAGGTCGGGACTTGTGCAGGATGCGACAATACCTTAGAGGAAATAGAATACGGCTTGACTCCCAGTGAGTAGAGTTTATTCTATAAAGCAAATTTATACGTTTTCACTCAAGAATAGATCTAAACACCACATCTTGATGCTTTGTCATATGAGGGGCAATGGCATAGTCCAGTGGTTAAAGCGCCCGTTCGTAAATCCGAAAACCCGGGTTCGATCCCCACTTGGGTACAATGTGTGAAGTCCATCTCTGGTCTCCCCCGCCGTCTATTTTCTTAGATATTGCTAAAACAGCTTAAAACAACGCTCACTTTGTAAGATGAATCAAATAACGCGTCTTCGTTCATATAGACATCAGCCTTCAGCACATCCTGATGTCCCCTGGAAGGAAGTACTTTACCACCGTGACGGCCTGCAACACAGCAGGTGTCTGCAGCAGCCCCTCCTCCTCCGACGGCGTCATCCTGGACAGCTCCCCGCCAGTCACGGGTACCGTGCAGGACGGCACCGGGGACGTGGACATACAGTTCCAAGCGGCCAGGTGAGACGAGATTTCATCAACACGAATACGCCTGCATTGTGTGATGGGTCTAGGTCATGGTGGTAGGTGCATTGTGTGATGGGTCTAGGTCATGGTGGTAGATGCATTGTGTGATGGGTCTAGGTCATGGTGGTAGATGCATTGTGTGATGGGTCTAGGTCATGGTGGTAGATGCATTGTATGATGGGTCTAGGTCATGGTGGTAGATGCATTGTGTGATGGGTCTAGGTCATGGTGGTAGATGCATTGCATGATGGGTCTAGGTCATGGTGGTAGATGCATTGTGTATGTGTATGGGTTTGTTAGCACCTCACACACGAGTTCGTTGGTTTTGAAAACTTGGTAAACGTCTGAAACCCGCATCCCTTCTCGCCATCTTGCCATTGTAACCGGTAGTGATATAACTTTTGTAACAGGATGTTGGCGTACTGGGAAAATGTAGACTTTGAGCTGAATTGTGTAATAGTGAGAAATAGGTCTGAATATACATTTATTTACTGTACTAAATGTTTACTGTGATTATTAATAACCAGACGGTTGGTATATAGTAACCGTGTAATAAGCGAGAGATAGGTCTGAATATACATTTATTTACTGTACTAAATGTTTGCTCTGATTATTAATAACCAGACGGTTGGAAAATAGTAACCGTGTAATAAGTGAGAGATAGGTCTGAATATACATTTATTTACTGTACTGAATGTTTACTCTGATTATTAATAACCAGACGGTTGGTATATAGTAACCGTGTAATAAGTGAGAGATAGGTCTGAATATACATTTATTTACTGTACTGATTGTTTACTCTGATTATTAATAACCAAACGACTACTATACAGCATTTTAACATACCCACATAAGTCATAAACAATGTGCCACAAAATATTGTGCTCACTGCAGAATCTGTATTGGCTATCTGAATGGAGGACGGGAAGGGTTGTGGTTAAAATGTTCACTCCTCATAGTATGACCCGGGGTCAATAGACAACATGGATAAAATGTAAATGTATGTCCCTCGTCATGATAGTGCTGGAATATTGCTCAAAGCGGAGTGACATCAAACTCGCTCATTTAAGTGTGGTGTAGCAAATGTTATCCTGTTGCCAAGACGAGAGACAACAAATGACACTGCTTCTTTTGTTAGTTTACCGCCCAAATGCCTAAGAGTCAAGGTCATGTTCGGGCGTGTATTCCAAACGAACAGTAAAATCGTCAATTACTTTGGTAACAAATATTAGCTGATTTATTTCCATCCATTACTCCTGTGTATCTGCACAAGCATGGTTGATTATAAAACGTAAATTAAAGAGGATGTTTTTGTCAAAGGACATTTATCGGGTGCAAGTGGCGAGGCTTCTACGACCCTGAATCTGGATTGGACCATTATGAATGGCGTGTTGGAACAACATCAGGAGGTGACGAGATTCTGACAGCCAGGAATGCAGCTCTCGAGGAAGTCATCTTCCACACCCTGTCACCTGACCAGCAGCTTCCGGTTGGGCAGACGATCTACGCTACTGTCAGGGCCTACAACAAAGCAGGTACACGCCCAGTGAACACAGAGTATGCACTGAGAAATTTGAATATATTCTCTCGACTTCCAAATCCTGCTATACAGTTAGTGAAATCTGTACATTCAAACTAAACAGTGGAATACCCTTATTAGTTCAGCATGATAAAATATTTTGAATGCTGAATGTTTTAATACAAACTTGTAACCGTGATTCGTCTATATCGTTGCTATGAATTGTAAAGTTTACACTCACTCACCCAATCTCGTATATTGTGTCAGTTTTTCGCAATCAAGAAGGGCATTCTGAAAGTCTGGGCCACGGGTGGCCCTCAGGCCTATGATCATGGGTTCGACTCCCGTCAACATGATTGGGTTTCTGGTATTGTCATCACTATATCTGTGTTCATGGGTTTCACCAAATCAGAACGTCTGAAGCCTGCATCGTTTCGGGCTGTCATCCCATGTTAAGCTGACAGGCCGTGTGATGTAACTGGAATGCTGTTTAAAGCAGCGGTAAACCCAACTCACTCACTCACTCAGAGCATGTCACATATTTGTACTCGGCTGTCATGGTAACAATGATGCTAATCACATATAAATTGCAATCGAACTAACTGTCTACTTCCAATGAAACGGAATTCTTAATATTCCTACTATGGCAGTACTGCCCAAAGGCAGATCCAGATCTATGTGAAATGTATTCTGCCGGCGATGTATTGGTATATTCATATCTTGTGATATCCTTTGTATTAGTACATCCAGGTCTTGTGATATTCTTTGTATTGGTACATTCAGTCCTGATATCAGATGTATTGATACTTTAATGTACTGTAATCTAGCCTATATTGACACATTCGGGTATGTATTGTCGGTGATAGAAGAAAGATGTTGTAATTTCCGTCGTCCTGTTACATTCAGGTCTATACACTGAGTCCACGTCCAACGGTCTCGTTGTTGACGACAGCGCACCGACTGTGGTGATATCACCAACGTTATCACCGTCTATAGCGTCAGCTGTTACCCGATCCTCTATCAGCCGAACAACTCTAAGCGCACTATGGAAGTTCGAGGACTCACAGTCTTCTGTGGAAAGACAGTATCTTTCTCTGTCTTCGCATCAACTCGGGGAGTTCAAACGCTCAACTATTGAGGTGAGATCACATACCTGTGTGGAAAATCTACGAATCTTAATAACATCAGTGGTATCGTGGCGTGGAACGACATAAATTATCTAACAACATTGCACTCTTGTGGGGATTCGAACTGGGATCTTCAGTCCTTCAACCATCTGACTACACATGTGCCCCGAAAAATTGGTACATGTTAACGAAGACATGTGTCATGATAACAAAAATAGGTACAGATGAATTGGATGTATCATTTTTTGAAATATACAAATGTTGTACCGACCTCTGCGACATTAAGCAGTTTCTCTCAGAACATCAAACCAAACACGGTACACTGGGTATTCATGTAATATCTGGTTTAACCGTGTACATGTTCCATGTGATGATGTATCATGAACTACAGTTCGTAGTTATTTCACAGGGTTGATGTCTGTACTAGCTTGACAGACCGCGTGCGTGGTGTAGTGGTTAGAGCGTCCGCCCGGAAAGCGGAAGGTCGCGGGTTCGATCCCCGAGCGCGTCATACCAAAAGACGTTAAAATGTGGTACTTGTTGGTCCCTGCCTGGCGCTCGACATTAATGGGTACAACACGGTCTGGTCGGCTCGGGAGTCAGTATAATGTGTCTGAGTGGGGTATTCATGCTTCACTTCGGCATGGTATCTCAGTGGGCTAGCACTATAAAACCAGCTTCAGACTGGGCTAGTACAAGCAGCCGCACATCCACATACACACGCATGCACGTCGTCATATGAGCGAAATATTCTCAAGCACGACGTTAAACCCAATTTCACCTCACTAGCTTGACATTTCTTTGAGAGGCATTTTAGAAGTTGTATAGATGAAGGAAAACCCAGTTCTATGGATAGTCAACTTCTTTATCGCAATGAGTGCGCCGTTTCGGTGTAGGTACTAACACCGTTATCAAGCGTTTGTATCACTTGCTTGATAACGGTGTTAGTATCTACACCGAAACGTCGCACTCATTGCAATAACGATGTTGACTATCCATAGAACTTTGTTTCCCTTTAGCTTGACGTTCCCTGAGACCAGAAACCCGGCATCAGATGTTGTCAAGAATTACTATAATTCTTTACAATGTCTACCTATTTAGATGGCCTACCTTTCTTTCACGAAGCATCCTTTACTAAGGTTAACCTTAACTCCCATTCTTTAACATTGCACTAAGGTTGCCTTAGTGACTTACGATCTCCTTAGTTTCTTTGTGAAATGAGGCCCAATTGGGTTATATAGTTTTTGGTCCATTAGTAGACTATCAATGACGGCATTAACTAGGAGAGAGATATTTCCGATTTTTGGTTGTCAAAAACTATCCATATCCTTAGTTAGACGGAAAAGAGTAAAGCTGATATATGTTTTTGCAGACAATTATGTTTGTTGTCCTTATTCAGATCCCAAGTTTTCTTACTGAGTACACCTACACCGGCCTTGAACTTCACGATGGAAGTAGATACAAGGTGAAGGTGATTGCTTGCAATATGGCGGGTCTGTGCACAAAGGCTGAAACTGAAGACATTCTGGTTGACAACTCAAAGCCTCAAACAGGTATGCTGGTACATAACATACATGAGAAAGGTTTGGTTTTAATCAAAGAGCGAATTAGTTTATACGTTTGTTAGTGTGCTGACCCACGCGAAGCACCAATCTAAAGAAGAAGGTCATGACATTGCCCTGGCCCAATTCACGTTTATTTTCGCAGTGATCTGATATGATGCAGTGATCTGATATGATGCAGTGAAATGCGACGCTGGAATGATTGTTCTCACTGTTGATTCCAGGTACATTTGCTATAGAAACCGATCACGCCGCTAAGTTGTCCCGGCACCAGCGTGGCGGGATGACGTGGACACAGACCAGTCTAAGTCTGAACTGGCTGGGCTTCTCCGATCTACATTCCGGAATAGACAATTACATTGTTTCAGTCGGATCCAAACAGTTCGGCACAGATTACAATAAGGTATTTGAACCATGACTGCATGAGAGAAAACTGTAATAATTGTGTACCTACATTTTATGCGGCCGAATAGCCTGAAGAGAGTGTTTTACATCATGTGGAAATGTGTCCCTTCTAGTACATGCCATGCGGAAATGTGCCCCTTCTAGTACACACCATTCAGAATGTGCCCCTTCTAGCACACGCCATTCAGAAATGTGCCCCTTCTAGTACACGCCATTCAGAAATGTGCCCCTTTTAGTACACGCCATGCAGAAATATGTCTTCCAGTACACACATGTATAGAGTGGTCGCAGAAAAATGATTACCGCGTCCCAAAGGAGTGAGTGAGTTTAGTTTTACGCCGCACTCAGCAATATTCCAGCTATATGGCGGCGGTCTGTAAATAATCGAGTCTGGGCCAGACAATCCAGTGATCAACAGCAGGAGCATCGATCTGCGCAATTGGGAACTGATGACATGTGTCAACCAAGTCAGCGAGCCTGACTACCCCATCCCAGTTAGTCGCCTCTTACGACAAGCATAGTCGCCTTTTGTGGGAAGCATGGGTTGCTGAAGACCTATTCTACCCCGGATCTTAACGGGTCGCGTCCCAAGGGACGCAAGCTAGTCTTCACTGGAACAAATTCTCGTTAAGAAACTTAAGGTTGATGTAACAAACGTAATCATTCAGTGCACTACATCATTTCACTGCTTTTCAGGACACTACCATTTTATGTAAGGACCCTTGAAATTAGTAAAACCAAAGTAAAACTATGTAAAGATATCTCCAACAATTTTCAAGTGCTCTGTGAACAAAGTTGGCATCTTGTACTGTGCTAATCTACCACGGATCTCACTGTATGTATTTTAGGGCGGATCTCCTGCTGAAGTCTCCCACGATGCATCCGGAGTTGACAAGGGCGACGAGGGTGTCATCCAGACATTCACCGTACCCACAGAGACTCTGCCACCAGAAGGGAGCGTGTTTGTCGCAATCTGGGCTGTGAACAGGGTAGGTGGGGGAGAGTGTTTATCCTATCTAGACTGTGAACGGGGTAGGTTGGAGGGTTTTTGTCGCCATCTGGACTGTGAACGGGGTAGGTTGGAGGAGAGTGTTTCTCCCTATCTGGGCTGTGAACGGGGTAGAATTTAGGAGAGTGTTTGTCGCCATCTGGGCTGTGAACGAGATGGATTGGGGAGAGTGTCCCTATCTGAAAAGTGAACGGGGTAGGTTGGGGGAGAGTGTTTGTCTTATCTGGGCTGTGAACGGGGTAGGTTTGGGGGAGAGTGTCGCCATCTGGCCTGTGAACGGGGTAGATTCAGCGAGCGTGTTTGTCGCCATCTGGGTTGTGAAAGAGGTAGAATTTAAGAGAGTATTTGTCGTCATCTTGGCTGTGAACGGGGTAGGTTGGGGGAGAATGTTTGTCGCTATCAAGGTTGCAGACTTAAATGCTGACGGGTGTTCACCATTCATGTCGGTACATCCAGTTATTGCAGATGCTTGGGAACATGCTTTGACGATTACTGTTTGTTTTCCAGGTAGGACTTCAGAGCGACGCCTACCATGCTGAACTGGAGCTGTCAGGGGACCGGATTCTGTGGCTGGTGAGGAGATGCCAGGCCTACAACTGCGAGGGGCATTGTGTGTGTGCTGTACAAGGAGGATCGTGTGGTGAACCCAAAGGCTGCACACAGCTGAATAACGGTAAGTGTAGGTCATATAGGTATGATTAGAAACTTCAGACTGTCAATCTTGTTGAGCGTAGCTGGAACACAGATGAAAGAAACAATGTTTAAGATTAACTTAACCAATTAGTTAATTACTTTTCAACTAATGTCTTGCTCTGTGTATCTTCCTATAACGATCCGAGTTAGAAATGATCTTCAGTAAACCATGCTTATCGTAAGAGGCGACTTACGGGATCGGGTGGTCAGGCCGGTTGAGTTGGTTGACACATGTCATTGTATCCTAAATGTGTACATCGATGTTGTTGATCACTGAATTGTTTGGTCAGACTCGGATCATTTACAGACCGGCGCCAAATAATTGGAATATTGCTGAGTGGGGCGTAAAACTCAACCCACTTACTCCGTGGATTGTCACGACAGGTTATATGGGAGATAATCATTCTTTCAACAATATACTTCGCTTAAGACCCTAATCGATACAAGTATATTATTGTTTGGAACTCTATTATTTCAAATTATTTTCCTGCACTTTTTAGCTTGGAGGTAGTTGTGACAGTGTCGCCTATGTGTTACAATCAAAATGTAGAATGACTGAAATATTCGGTTTTTTTTAATACTTTGTTCTTTTACATTTTGACGTTTAATGTTATCGCCTATTTACTAAAAATAATAAGCATATGAGAAGGCGAAAGTCGTTGTGATGTTGTTTTCTGTTTTGAGCCCCTTTTAACATTCTCATAGTTTATAGTAAATCATTAAAAAAATGGGCAGATTTTTCAGTCAAATTGAAAATGACTGAAACATTTGAATACTTACAGGAGGAGGGAACAGTGTTCTTACTGTCGTCGATGTCGTTGACCTTAGATTAAGACCTGCCGCGGGCTTCTCTCCCGTCAACACACTTATGGCTGCCACGTGGTCTGTGACAACATCCAGGGTTTGCCCATCACACGGTAGGTTGGTTTTACATTCAGATACACACACCACGGGCCGTTCAGGCACTATTACGACATGGACATAATTATTCTGAAGGTTATAACCAGATAATAAACTGGATGATGATGATGATGATGATGATGGTGATGCATTTTTCATTTTTGGACTTTTAGGTATGAGTACAGCATTGGAGAGAGCGGCCGTCCCTCACCACAAGGTGTTTTCAGTGTGGCCACAGAGAGAGTGTGGTATGATGCAGGACAGCAAACATCTGCAATTCTTCCACTGCCACAAGGTAACACTTGAATGTCCGCAGGTTATATGAGTGCAAATTTCTCTATCATAACCACTTTTGGTTTATAACAAAGTATAGGTAAATATCTGGGCTACAACTGGTCTTCAGCAACCCATGCTTGTCTTAAGTTCGGGGGATCAGGCTCGCTTACCTGGTTGGTGCATTCATCGTTTCCCGATGCCCATGATGATGATCACTGGATAGTCAGGTCCAGACTCTATTATATGCAGACCTCTGCCATATAGCTGGAATGTCGCTGGAATATATGCTGAGTGCAACGTTAAAAACAAACAAATATGACAAGGGTACTGGCATACGTTGCAGGATACCTGGTTACAGAACTGCGAATTAAGTCCATTTACAATAATATTTTTTCGGAGAGTTTGGTCACTCATGTTCCTGCAACATATATACGCATGTAAACCCGAAGTGATACAGTATTTTATTACCCACGTGGTCAACGTATGGGTAGTTGCATATTAATCTCGTACGTCACACGAGTGTCGTATCGCGTTGACCTGTGTCGTAACGACTTGACCTGAAATTCTAACGATTTGATTGGATAACCGATGACCTCTCAATTAGGTCACATTCTGACGTAACTATTTTTCATTCATAACAAACACGTGAATTCATTCATTCTACAACTTAAATGCATTGTGGGAATGTAAACATTGCGAACGTTGCCGTGTCGCTGTTTAATTGTGAGTCGAACTGAGACATTATATCTGTCGAAAAACATAAACGCAATGTTTCAACCAGTGATGTTAGCCGAATGAAGCAACTGGAAACCAAGAAACGAGGTGCTACGGAGTAGTTTACTGTAGGAGGCTGTACGAGGCGATGACAACTGACATGCATCGTGACGTCGGTTACCATGGCAGTGACGTCATTAGTGTGACGTCATGCAAATATTGTACTACAGTACAAAACTCTTCCGCAACCTCTTTATGAAACCGGTTTCGGTTTGAAACCAAAAACATAACAAAAATACGCTATTTTGTCCATTTAAATGCATGTAAGACGTGGGTAATAAATAAAATACCACACTCGGTCTCATTACATACGAATTATACGAAACTCGTGACCTTCCTATGTTATCTGACCTCGCTTTCGCTCGGTCAGATACCATAGGAAGGACACTCGTTTCGTATAATTCGTATGTAATGAGACCTCGTGTAGTATTCTCTATATACCTTACAGCCTTAACTTACCTATTTACATGTAACATTAGTTTCGGGAACAAATTTATTTAATATTTTATTATGTAACTTGTATTTATCAACATTAGTGCGTTTTGCTGCTTTGGTTACCAATTGTTGTGTTTCCTTGGAAACAACCTGGACTTCAACCCAAAAACGTCTATTATTAAATTTTGTTTCCGGATTATAACTCGGAAACTCATTAATCCATGATTTCGATATTGCAGTGCATGCTCTTATTTAAATCATAATTGAGACATACACGTCAGATTCTAATGTGCCCGATGGCAGGGTGTAGTCATTCTCAACCACAGTGAGTGAATATGGTTTAACACTGCTTTCAGCAATATTTCAGCTACATCACAGTGTCTATGTGTCTATTTCTGTGACATTATCAATTTGTGTAATTAATAATAGACTCACAGACACATTGTACCCATGTGGGGAATCGAACCCGGTCTTCACCATGACGAGTGAACGCTTTAACTACTAGGCTATCACATAGCAATTTCTATATCACTGAAACATCTCATTGCAGGCAGGGTGTTGACTTCTGGGGGAAGGTATTCCTTCTTCGTGAGGGCCTGGTATGATGCCAACACCTACAGCATCTTCACCTCCGACGGCGTCCTTGTCGACACCACCCCTCCTGCAGTGACAGACAAGCTCGGCCTCACTGTAAGTTGCTGCTCGGTTTTGAATCCAAAACATGCTTCTAGTTGGACCTGAACGCGTGTAACATCATGATGATGATGATGATGATGATGATGATTGTGAATTTGCTTTTGTGTGAAGGTTAAAGAAGTCGAGGGTCCCGGCAAAACGAAAGAGATTGATTTCCAGATAAAAGCTGACAAAGTTACGTACACGTGGACCAACAAGTTCATCTCTGGTCAGAGCGGCATTCTCAAATACAGGCAGTACATATGCACCGTCCCCAAAGGTAACAGTAGAATGTTTCATTGATGTTTCACAATATATTTTGATAATGAAAACGACTACTTCATCTTCTACCAAGAACATTTTACAGACAAGTGGCATGCCTACATAGACTGTAGTTTGCCTATAGTTCGCCGGTTGCTGCATCAGTGTTCTGATTAAGCATTCGAGGACAGGCGGTGTGAGTCGTGGAACCATATACCCTGATTTGGTCAAGAACAATTAGTGCAGGGGCTTAGGGTGAAAATAGATACTTGGCGGACTAAAGCATGAAACTTTGCAAAGTGCTGGGGAATATCATGGTAAAACATATTTTGGAAGGTGCCCGATGTTTGGGGCCCATTGTCCGAAAAAAAACAAGATGGCGTCCAAGTGGCCGCCAAAAATCAAGGATTTCCGATTTTAATACTATATGACTTCCCCAGCTGGACCCATTTTCCGACAAATCCAAGATGGCGTCCAAGATGGCCTCTAGAAACAGGACAACTGGAAGATTGGCACTAACATAACAATAATTGTCATAACCTTTCACTTTCACTATTCCACCCTGGGTCACCAGTGCAAATAATTGTTGGTGATGCTTGATTGTGTTATTAATATGTGGAAATGTTATATGCATCGTGCGTTGCGATGATGGTTATATCAAAAAGTATTGTATGTATGTTGTATGAACAATGAGGGGTATGACCTGCTTAACTGATGGTAATGAACTATGACTAGTGTGACATACTTAGTTAATGGTAAGGGAGAATCAGGGTTAAAAGGTGGCTGCCAATGGGAATGATTGGTTAAAGGCATATATTGGTTCACTACTTTGATGAACAGTGTATTTAGTTTTTAGATTTCTTCAGTTTAGCATATGTAGTTAAATGTATATATTTAAATGTTCCGATGCCATAACCTGATACACATGCATTATGTCATAGCATCAGGAATAGGTAACATATCTTATATAATACTTTACACCTTCTTAGTAAACAATACATTTCAGAACCTTTTTGTCCTACTTGGTATTTGAACCCACATGGTCATACACCATATCGCCAGCACACATAGTTTACGATCTAACCCACTCAGCCACCGAGGTAGTAGAAAAATGGACTTAAGACAACTGGTATTTGGTGCTTCACTCTAAATGTGACAAACCGTATATCTTTGTAGTAGTCAAGGTGAAGTGATACATCGCATATGAAGGCTCCACAAAGGCATTAATTAGAAAGGTGTATGATTCGGTCAAGAGTACCATATATATTTTCAGGTCACAGTATCCACGATTCTGGGGACCTGACGTCCACCAGCTACACGGCGACTGGGCTGAGTCTACGTCCCAACACCGTCTACTACTCCAGTGTCCTGGCTTACAACAAGGCTGGACTGGTCAGCTGGGCCCACTCTGATGGTCTACAGGTGGACGTCATGCCTCCAGTAACAGGAAGGGTGCACGACGGACTAGGTTCGTACCGAAACAAAGCATTATTTCCCTTCATAACGATAAGAAAAATATATCTTAATGTCATAGCGGTCAGTGGGGTAGATTTGCGGTTAAAGCGTCCGCTCGTCACGCTGAAGACCCGGGTTCGATTCCCCACATGGGTACAATGTGTGAAGCCCATTTCTTGTGTCCCCCGCCGAGATATTGCTGGAATATTGCTAAAACCATACTCACTCACTCACATAATGTCATAGGTAATAATCTGGTTGTATTGGACATTAAGGCTAAGGTTTTTTTATGGTAATGGACACATGTTGAACATTGGTACAGATATCCACGATAAGGACTACCAGAGTTCTTCATCTGTGGTCTCTGCGTCCTGGTACGGGTTCTCTGACAGAGACTCCACGGTCATCAAGTATTTCTGGTGTGTGGGAACAGTCAACGACACAACAGACTGCAGTGTGGTGGACTGGCTGGACACTGGACTACACACATCATTCAGTAAATCGCTGACAAGTCCGCTGTCTAGTGGTAAGAAATATACTGACTGAAACAAATAAGTGAACACCATTTGATGGAAGTGTGCTTTGTTTATTCTTGATATTCTCCCATGGTACGACACAAAGCTTGCGAAGAAACCCGGAAAAGAATATAGGAACACTTGTACTTTCACGTGTTCCCTTATTTGTTTCCCTTAGTATATTTATTGTCCAGAAGTTTTCATACAACTTGATGTAAATATGCATATTGTGATACGTATATAATCGTGACGTGTTTATCGTGATACATATCGTACTGTGATGTATTTATCGGGATAAGTATTGTATTGTGACCAATTTATCGTCATACGGATCAGATTGTGACCATGCTGAATCGTTTCACCCCAGTGCATTTAATGCAAATGAATGACCTCGTCTATATTTTTAGGTACAAGATTATGGAGCAAAGTGTATGCTGTAGATGCTGTTGGGCATACCACTGAAATAGCTGTATCTGATGGAGTTGTCATCGACACATCTCCACCAGAACCTCAGGATATGGCATATCTTGGTGACAATCTGGTGAGGAACCCGTCATTCGAGGTTGATAGCATCACCAGCAGTTCCACACGCTGCAACCTTGTCATACCTACAGCATGGGAAACTGACACAGCTTCCTGCATCAAGGTTCAAGCTCCTGAATCACCTCTGGCTAAAGATGGAAACATGTTCGTGTCAGTGAGTGGAACCATTCACCAAACCATCTCAGGTCTTGAGGTTGGGAGGCAGTACAAGTTGAGTCTCCATGTAGGATACCCTGAAACCGTTTCCAACAACCATAGGTCTATTGATGCAGTAGTTACGATAGGAAGCGAGGTTTTCAGCTTTACCCTTGATCCTAACCTCTGTAGAGGCGCCTGCAGTGTCGGAGATCACACAGTCGTCCTCTGGAACCAACACACATACAGGTTCACAGCCGTAGATACGAATGTAGTGCTGAAAATATCGTCGTCGTCAAGGATGATGGAGTTTGTGCTGGACCATGTAAGTGTCCAGACTGTGGACTATGTCGCTGGACCGGACAGTGTGGACACAGAGGAGCATCTGGTGGTCCACTCTGTGTTCCTGTCTCACTGGTCATCTCTACATGCTTCATGGCACTTTGAGGATCAACAGTCTCCGATTACACACTACACGTTCGCCATTGGTAATCATTGGTATTCTTATCATACATAATATTTGATAATTTCGATAAGTTCCAAATCTCAGCTAGGTTACAGAGAACATGACATGACGACATTAACTAAGATTTTAAGTTTTTCGAAGTTTTTTCATGGCTTCAGTAAAGCTTTTCCAAATTTCAGTGAAACATATTATGTCCGATGTAATTCCCTAATATGACTGGTACCGTGCGTCATGTGTGTTTTAGGCGTACAGTTGACTAGCCTTTGCATGTGTTTATGAGGGACAGGATACTTTCAGCGAACAATTGGTATCAGCACTATGCGACAATGATAAACACATATAGTCGAAATCGTACAATCGACGGCTGCTGGCAGATGTCTATTGAGTTTGCTTGCTTTTATTTATGCAACCGTTTAGTGCCAGGAAAGACAAGGTATTCGTCTTTTCCAGGGACAGTCGCAGGTGGAACACAGCTCCAGAGCTTTAAGAGCGTGGGGCGGCAAACACAGGCTACCGTCTCCGACCTCCGCCTGACCCACAACGCCAGTGTGTTCATCACTGTCATGGCAACAAATGGCGCTGGACTGACCAGTGTCACGTCCTCGGAACCCGTCACGGTGGACATGACTCCGCCCAAGTTTGACTTCGTCATGGATGGTGCCGGTAGGTGTTACTGTTAGTTGTCTTTAGCTGCACTATATGGTGACATGTGAGTAAGAAGAAATATTTCGGCGTAGGGGTCAAATGGGGTTGATAGTTCTGTCTGATTTTGTCCGTCTCGCTCTGCGTAATAATAAAGTACAATATCAATACACACCCTCTTCTGCCCATACCCATGCTTATGTTCAGCATGGCCTGATGTGATGCATTAAATAGTTCTTTCTTTCTGCATTGTTCCAGCTCTAGACGAGGACTACCAATCATCAGGTGTACTGAGTGTCAACTGGCAAGTGAGAGATGCTGAGTCTGGTGTGGATCACTGCGACTGGGCAATCGGTACGTCCTCATGTGGCTGTGGGATTGTAGGGTTGTGCTAATGGTAACATGAGAGTTCATTTTAACATTTATCCTTTCCAATTAAATGGCCTTAAACTTTCAGACTGTAGCTGTTAATTATGTAAATATATCATTTTTACTTCCTCAACGGCGAAGTGATTTCCTGACCGTGTATTGAAAACGAGTGAAGATCCAGGTTAGATTTGATCTTCAGCAACCAATGCTTGTATGTAAGAGGCGACCAACGGGATTTGGATACCAGGCTCGCCTGACTTGGTTAATACATGTCATATCCCCACTGTGTAGATCGATGTTATGATGTCAATAACTGGATTTTCTGGTCCAGACTTGATTAGTTACATACTGCTAACACATTGCTGGAAAATTAATTAAAGCGGCTTTAAACAACAAAATGTATGTAATGTAATTAAAGGTTGTTGGTAAGAGGGTATATTTGTCATTGGAGGGTTCTGTTGTCGTTGTAGGGAGAACACGAGGATCCAGTGACGTCAAGCAGTTTGAGAGGGTGCCTCCAGGCCAGTCAACAGCTCAACGTGACATCAGCTCCAAACTCAACACATCGTCTTTGATGGTCTACACAACAGTTAGGTGCTTCAACAAGGCAGGACTGGTGGCGGCAATGACGTCAGACGGAGTTGAGGTGATCCAGGCTAGGAACCAGACTTCAGTTCAAGGCTTCGGTCTCCTGAGAGAAAGTCCGTCGGTATACAGTGAGAGGGAAGTGTGTCACCAGAGTCAGGAGAGACTCCGACTCCATTGGGAAAAAACGAGCA